GGAAAAAAAAAACAAGTTACTGTTCATTACCTCAGTACCAGAGAATTAATTTGGATTTCTGTGAAACCAGGCCATATTGGCTGCAAACAGGAATTCATTCTTGGAAGGATAACAACAGCCAGCCTGTTGCCCTTGTTTACACTGTAAAAGGTACATAGGAAAAGAGGGAATTGCATCCAGCATGCACTCCATGTAATTAAAACATGAAAAGTACTGCTGGTTTGGCCCCCTTTCTAAACAAATGTCAAGGCAAATATTCAAAACTAAGGAGAGCCAAGCCGAGACTGCAAAAATCTTTGCTGTGCAAAATCACTGTGTGAATTAAGATGACAGATTTGGCAATTTCATTGCACCCCTTCTGACCAAAAGAATTCAGACAATTGTGCTTTTATCTACTCCTGGATTCAGGCCTCCATTGACTTAGGTGATGTGTATTTCAGAGGTGCCTAAAATCCACAGGAGTTGCAGCCTACTTCCCAAGGCTGCTCGTTTCTCTGCACTTTTATGGTGGTGGTTGTGTGCTTAAGAATGATGCTGTCAATAGCCTGAAATATGCTTTCTCCTGCTAGCTTAATGCAGTAAATCTGAAATTTGCATTGGGCAAAGAATGAACATATGAATACATACATGAATTGGCAATTTTTTTTGTTTGATATTTTCCCTGAGAGAACACAGAAAGAAAGCTCATGCGTCACTGAGGACACAAATCTTTGGAGCTAAATGCAGCCAGAAATGGGCATGTAAGGATGGTGGAAAATATTTGCAAAAGCAGCTGAAGAAAGTTTGCTGCCAGGCTGTCTTGCCATGTAAACCATTACTCAGGCTTAAAGGATCTGTGCTTTGGAAGATAGATTTACTAAAGTCCTTTATTTGTTGTCTTTGCTTTGTAGACATTTTGAAATTCATCCCGAGAATGTATGTCTTAAGAGTTAAGTTGCTGTGGGGGTACATATATATGCATGCATATATATATATATATGGACAGTTTTTAAAATGTATATATTTAGAGAAAGAGATTCTGAGGAGGGGGTGGAAACAGAGCATCTGCAGGAAGAGCTATGTTTCCTTATGTACTGCTTTGGTTTTTTGTCCAAATTTAAAATAGAGGAAGAGAGAAGCTCTCTAAAGGCATTTGAAGAAATTTTGACTGATGCTCACTTTTATAGATAATTTTTCCAACCAACTGCTTCCTTGGTTAAATACTTAATAAAGGGAAGATAATCTACTTTCAGGCAAGTTGCCTTGGCTAGGTCTTGGGTGACATTTCCACACTGACTGTGCAGAGCTCAGGATTATCTTACACAAAACCAGAGATCCGAAAGGTTGTTAAGGAGTCTGCCTCTCCTGTTAGAAATTACCCAGGGATCCCCAGGCCATTTGTATTATATTTGCATACCTTGTTTCTAAATAAAATTCCTATGTAGCTTGGCTACATAACTTGCTCCAGGGTTTAAATGTCACTGTAGTAGGGTGGAGAAAGGAGAGTTCTACATTGTTTGTGTCTAAGCTAGGCCTGTTCTTCTTCAAGTTATTGTGAGTTATCATCCTCAAAGGATATGAAGAATTATTAAATACCAGCTATTTTCTGATGTCAGCTGTTGTCTGATTTCTGACATTTCATTTGATTTGCCTGTCTTCATTCTCCTAATTTCCTGACTAAATAAAGAAGAAATTTTGCCTCTCTGTGTGTGACATAGTTTGTCAGAAAAGCCATGATTTTAAAACATGTGGTAGTTTTCTTGTTCTGAAACTTTCCAATTTGTGGTATTTTTCTTTAAGTGTAGTGGTAAAACCGGATTCAGCGTCTAATAGCAAGGAATAAAGGAAAACATCTCAGTTTCATGTTTTATGCTGACATGTCCTGGAATTATATGTCTTTCTCTTTTGAAATAATAGTGTTATTTTCCAAGTTGTAATCTCACAGATTCTCAAGAGATGCTTAACGTGTTAATGCTAATTTTCCATTAGCATTGCTATAATGCTTTGAGCATTTTCCTCAGTTTCATCATTAGAATACCTCTAGACTAATCAGGAAGATTATTGTAAGTGACAATTTTTACCTGAAAATGAATTGCAACCTCTGCAAGTTCAGTGTCATCAGCCTATTTGAGAACTGCGTTTCTCTATTTCACATTCCAAATAAGGCCAAAATCTTAAGTGCTCAATTTTGTACACAGAGCTGTTTGAAATGCCTCATTGGAGTATATGATTTCAGTTTGATAGAAAAAGAAATCACTGGTTCTCTCTGAACAGCTTTTTCAGACTGAATAGCTTTACACGGCCATATCACAGAAATTTCAGCTACACTCTGTTTCCCTGATTTACTAGGGAACTTACTGCAGCTCCTGAGCACTAACTCAGAAGCCATAAACTGAAGTGTATTAAAGCTGCTTCTTGTTGCCTATTTCCATGCCCTTCAGCCTGACAGAGAGATAAACATGAGGTTTGACATGATTCAATTCTCATTTTCTTATTATCCTACATTGTTTAGAAATGGACTGTGATATTGTTTTTCTGTGTGTAGTATGGATTTCGAACTTACCAACTTGTAATTCCCTGGGTACTCGTTCCACTGTGAAAAATGTGTGTATTTACTTAGGGGTTTTTTGTTTTCAGAGATAATGCTTCTGAAAATCCACTACTTGAAATCCACTCCCAAGCATGTAGCTCATCCTTCTTTTCATATCTGTTGTGACTTACTTGGGTGAGCTATACATTTCACCTTTACAGCCTATTGTGTCCCAAGCACAAGCAGGCCTTTTTCCAGTAAAACTCTGTTTATGAATTCAAGTATGAAATTTGTGAGAATGAGAAATGAAAGCTGTTTCTTAATGTATCACTTGGAATTTCCAAGGGAGGATGCATGTCTCCATTAAAAGCTGGCACAGGGTGTAAAGCCAAAGGTGAAGCCAAACTTGAAATCTGCTGTCTTGAAGTTGGCTGATTTTTTTGGGTTCGGATTGGTTTATTTGGATGTTGTTGTTAGTTTGGGGGTTTTAATTTTTTTTTTGGGGGGGTGGGGGTAGTCTAAAAAGTGACAAAATTTTGTTTCATGGCAGTGATAGCCTAGATAATTACAGACTGGAGGTGAAGGGAAAGACTGTAAGGGGAGAAACAGATGGCACCTGTCCATTAGCCTTCCAGCAGATGGTCTAGCCTTCCTGAGGGGCATCCTCTTCTGATCCCCTCTTCCACCTTCTCCTGTCCATTTTCTTTCCATATCTTCCTTTACATTTGCTGTAACAAATTTCTGGAGTTATTCAGGCACCTCTTTCTTGAAGAGACCTTATCCCTTTCTCTTAGCATTCTCTTGCCTCCCTGTAGATGGGACAGTTTTCCTATCTCTTCCCCAAAACAGAGTGGAGGAGACTTGCTTGTGACTTATTTGTGACTGAGAAGACCCCCAGTTGAAAGCTGAGGGAATTATTTTACTTGGTGATCACCAGCTAACAAATCAATATTTCTAGGGCAAGGGAAGTAGTTCTCTGTCTCTTTGTGAAATCAGGCAAATGTCTGCTCTTCTGCTGTGATTTGATGTAAAAATGCAGTTCTTTATACAAGAGCTTCACTGTTTCCACATTTTGCATTTACTTACAGCACCGGAATATGAAATGTTTTAGGAAGGTTTCCAGCTATTGTCTTCTCCATCTATTCAGTTAATTCTTTTTTGGATTTTGACAGTATATGTGTATTTTTTCTTTTTTTCCAATGCTAGAAATTACCATTGAAAGCACTTGCTGAAGAATGAAGCTTCTCAAACCATAGAAACATAGAATTGAATAATATCCAAGAAAATTTCATATCTCTGTATGATTCTTGTTTAGAATTTTGGTGCTGGTAATTAAATGAAGTTGTGTATTGGAAATCAATTTACAATTACATGCTAGCCTGATTCTTATTTTCTTTCTCTGTCATCTGAGTTTGTCTATTTATCTGATTCAATCCCATGTTTTCCATGTCATTCCCATGTAATGGGCTGAGCCCTATTTACTCAACAAAGGTATAAAAACCCTGTAAACTAATATTGAGCCAGCTATCAGTGTTTTAAATGATCATGTGTGACTTCACTGGAGAAAACAGAGTGTGCTACAAGTTTCAAATATGATAGCAATGCTGATTTCTCCACAACTGTGTTAAGAACAGCTGATCTCCAGTAGAAACCACCCATGTTGGGCATTTCCAGCACTAAAACAATCATAACATCACTGAAAAGTGTTAAATATTATTGCAGTCTGGAAAATAGAATTTCCAGTACTGTTCAAGAAAATGGGAGTGAAAATTACTGCAAGTGCAATCCTAAACTGTAGGCTGGTAAGAGGAATAAATTGTGAATGTGAACTGCTAAATGGTTGCTGTTCCACTGGGAAATCTTGCTGCTGAGAACTCCTTCACAAGGATGATTTTTCCTTTTGCCAGTGTAACCCAGACTCTGTGAATGGCTCTTCTTTGAGCAACAACATTTATATGTTGCCTTATGTGTATGTGTTCACAGTGATATGAAGAACAAACATGAAGTTATGCACTATGTATTGCAAAGTTGGTTGAAGGAACTAGTTAATAAATAACATAAGAAATTAATAATTAACTGCCTTGTCTTACATTTTCCTGATCTTTATTCATCTGGTACTTCATAGGAACCTAGTTTATCTTCCATCCCCGCTTATCTAGTCATGCTTTCTCTTTCATGTTTCTTCTTGTTTTGCTTTATTGTCACTGCTCATCAGTTTCATCTGTGAGTGTATGGTGTTTACAGCTATTGCCAAGCAATCCTGAGGGCTATTTTAACTAAAGCACAAAAAAAGGATAGTTTCATCTTTGTCCTTAAATTAACCATTTCATCAGTGGTGTGAGTTAGTAGGGACACTATAGAAAAAAAATGTCAGACCTCAACGTTTCAAAGACGTGATGTTGTTTTCTTCATTAATAGCAGTGATTCCAGATACATTCCAAAATATGAATGACTTCAGGACAGCTCATGATTTTTTTGTACTGTTTTGCAGGGGATTTCCCAAGAAAACAGGCAGAACTGCTAGGATAGCATCAGATGAAGAGATTCAAGGGTCAAAAGATGCTGTAATTCAGGACCTGGAGAGAAAACTTCGCTTCAAAGAAGACCTTTTGAACAATGGGCAACCGGTATAAAAATATAAAATACCCTTTTTTATTGGAGAATAGGAGTGGGTGGGAGTGGGCATCATTGGTAATTTCTGAGATATGCTGCATATAAAGTAATTGTTGTAGATTGCTTTTTATGTATTTATAATTTTTAATTGAATTTTCAAAACTGCATTTCCAAAAGGAATGATAGTGTACATTTGTTCTATCATTCCTTCTCCTGTTTGATAACTTTACTTGGAGTTAACAAAACAATGGAGTTTGCAAAAATTGTGAATTTGCATAAGAAGCCTGCACAGTCTGTACCTCCAGGAGTTTTTGAGCCTCAAGGGCCATTTGCTTTCAACTGTTCACTACTGAGTGGATGAACAGGCATAGATCTTTTTCAGTCCAGGCTCATTCTACCTTGTGTCCAGACACTGGATGATGGGGGAAGCAATAGATTGTAACTGGACATCAGAGGAGGACAAGACAGTTCATCATGAAAAACAACCCAGTAGGAATCAGGCATCATTAGGTTCTGCAGCTGGGGGGCTTCTTTTGACCAATAGAATTTTGACCAGTTGAATAGAAATAACTTATAGTCCTAACTTACAGACTTAAGAGTTAATGACCTACTCAAGGAGTCAAGAAATGAGGTAAAATGAGCATATCAAGCAATGGAAATGCACAGCCACAAAGATCTCTGTTCATTTTTATGCACTTAAGATACATATAAAAGGTAAAATACTGAATTCTTCCTGCTCAGAGTTGATGAGAAGCAACTTTCCTAAGAATTTTTACAGTTATTAAGACACTATCTTTGAAGCAGGAATTTCTTTTAAGAGGAAAGTAATTTTAAAAATGTAAACTGTCACCCCTCTTTTGTCAATAAAATGTTTTTAAAAACATCTGAATACCTTGGGATGCCTTTGTGTCACTTTGAAAGGAAGTGGAATTTTACATTTTTCAGGACAATGCCCAGAAGTTTACTACTAGGTTTGAGCTGTGAACTGTGGTGGTGTAATTCAAGTAAGCCCATTGAGTCAGACTGTCTATCAACATTTGCTCAAATTCGTTTCTTAATAAGGTCAATGGAGTGAAGTAGGGAGAATGTTCAGAGTGTCTGCTGCTTCTGTTACTTTTCTCCATTGACTGCACACTGTTTGGCAGATTTCTGTAGCAGTTAAGCAAAATCACTGTCATAGTGTATTAGTTTCTGTTTTCTCCAGGGAGGTGGGCTGAGATTGACTGTCAATGACTGTTTTGGAAAGTGAGGGAGATGTCTGGCCTGGGCAAATGAGTGGAATGTCCTGAGAATGCCCACATGGCCCAAGGTAAAAAAAAAAAAAAAAAAAAAAAAAAAAAAACAACAAAAAAACCCCAAACCAATTGTGAATAGATGATGTGGGAGCTTGAACGAAATAGACTCTGCTTTGGTGCTTGCCTGGAGGCTTTTGCCTTGCAGATTCCTGTCTTGAGTAAATTCTGTATGTGTAATCATGGCTGTGGGCACTTATAAGTGAAGAAAAGTTCATTATTTTCTTAGACACTTATAGCCAAAACAACACTGCTACGTAGTTGTCCTGAGTTTGTCTGCTGGTTTAGCTGCAATATGATATTAAGACAAAAATTAATTAAATTATCTTTTTTTAAAAAGCAAGCATGAACTAGATGTTGTGTTTACAATTTCCATTCTTCATTCATTTTTCTCTTTAAATGAAGTGTTGCACAATGAAATGAGTTTGTCTTCCACAAACTTGCATTTTTTTGCAATGTTAATTTATAAGAAAGTGTCTGAAATGCATTCGTAAACACAGGAAGAAAACTAATAATGAAATAATTGTTTTATATATTAAGGTTTTCCTTTAACTAATTTTCTCTTCTCAGTGTAAATTGTCTTTTATAAGCTGTCTCCTCAATTTCTGAAAGAGTAAGAAGAAATGGAAATTTTAAAATCTTAAAGAATACATTTTTCTGTATTTTGGACAAAATATTCAAGTAGAATAGAATCTCCTTATCATTTTTTGCAATGCTTTCTGCCTTATGGTTCTAATGTAAAATCTGAGCAGAATGACTTGGAGTAAGATTTGAGATGATTTGATATGCCCTCTTCTGATGGCCATGATTTAAGCAGTTCCTATTGCTCATTCCTACCCAAGTTCCTGGCACAAAGATGGAAACAAATGGCAGAGACAGTGCAAGGATTGCTTAAGCCAAAAGAGCTACTTGTAATACTAAAAAAATGCATTACAAACCGTGGTAGAAAATTTCTGTTAGAAACATATTGCTGCTCTCTTTTATCAACATTACTTCAAGCATTGCTGACTGTGAACTGCTTTGTAGTTGGAGAAATGATATTTTTTCTTTCTTTTGCCTCCACCCTCATCTCCTTTTTATTTTTTGTTCAGAGATTAACATATGAGGAAAAAATGGCTCGTCGATTACTGGGAGCAGACAGCGCTGCAACTGTCTTCAATATACAAGAACCAGAAGAAGATCCTGCTATACAGGTGCCACATAACTCTGCAATTTCATAGGAAAAAATGCCTTTCAGATTTTCCTTTTTATAGACTATGATTGTCATTAAAATAAAGTCCTACATAAGACAATAAATACACAAGATAAGACAGTTATTGATTATAGAAGTCATATGTTATCTATTAGTGAAATAAACTGGAGGATCACAGTCTATTGCTCAGTTTTTCTATAAGGTTGAGACTTCTCAAATATCTGCTTTCTGCTTTAAACTCTTCCATTTATCCTATTCTGTCCTGACCTTTAAGTCTCTGAAGACAAAATACATCTACTATCTTAAAACCATCTTCTCTTTATTTGTGTAATAGGCACTTTTTGGGTGCAGACCAAAACCACAACAGAAAGTCTGCTTGAAAGGCCAGGTACACGCTCTCCATTGTTCAGATGCCAGAGTTGCTATTCAGAAATATGTAGCATTCATTTACTTATGGTGTTGCACAAAATACACTCTCCTGATAAAAACTCTGCAGAACTGTCATGGATATCTCTTGGTCTTCTTTCTGCCTCTTGATCTTTTTTTCTACCTTTGCAGGAAGCTCGCTCTGTTGGTGCTTCTGTAGTGAGTCCCGTGGATATTCAAAAGGTTAACATTTTCACCTTTTCCTGTCTTGTTTTTTGTCTTTTTTTTTCTTTCCCCTTTCCATTCTGCTGTTCTTGGTTAATAACAAGAGGTCATCTAGCATTAATAAAGAGAGAATTGGGTGTGGAGAATTGGGTTTCACTCCATTTATGAGGATGTCCAAGTTGTTCTAGAAGCTTGTGTGAGTGCAGACAGTTTAACAGCAAACATCGTGTGCTGCACTATCTTTGTGCTGGAATAATAACATACACTGATATGCTGTGTCATGGTTTACTTTTATGGTACACCTCAGGAAACAAAAAAATTTTAAAACTATCTGCAGTTTACAAGGTATTCCTCTGCTCTTCCATTTTTTGGCAATTATCAAGGATTATGATTAGTTCTGTGACCAATGGCAGAAAGATGTCAACATCATTCTCAGACCAGAGGCAGCAACAGAGGATGGGGATGTGAAAGGATGCTTTGCATGAGATGCATGTTCTGTCTTAAATACAGGGGTCAGAATAAATGGCCAATGGTAATTTGAAAGAGTATCTGAATTTCTGCAGACTTAGAAGTGCATTGACTAATATTTTTTCCTGCTTCTGAGCTATTTTACAGTCTGACATTATCAATGTTATCAGTAAGATTCCAAGCAGGAATTCTGTACTGCAGAGTAGATAGTTCAAGAAAGCAAATAACAGTGTTATGTAAATCAACAAATTCAAGCAAGTCAGAGTGTTTTACACTTGATGAACCTTTTTGCTTTTCTTGCTGTATCTTCAGTACTGTTACAGTAAATTTTGTTTTTAAAGGAGGGTCCCACACAAAGGGCATCATAGCAACAGGAGTAAAGGGAAACAACTATCACGGACTGACACTGTTGTGACTTTCTCTTATTTTTTTCCTCATTTTTACAGGCAACTGTAAACAAAATAATTTTATCCTTCTGGTTCAGCCTCTGGTACAGTTCTATGCAAATAGCAGATGTGAACCATATGGTCTTCTAGCCATCTGGAAACAAAACCCACCCTAAATCTGTCTGTACCCTCAAGGAAATATTAGTGTGTTCCTTTTGTCTTTATGAACTGCCTCAGAATACTTTTATTCTTATAGGATTTTTTTAAAAATGGAAAGAAAGCAACCAATGACTTTCTTTCCCTTTATAAATTAGACCTTAAGACAACATGAAATACTGTCTTTGCCTCATACCAGATGTCTCGATTGTTTCATAGGGAAGTTATTGGAGACATGGATTATAGTGTTTTTCCTCAACAAGATACAGTTTACTTTTATGTGTAAAAACTTAGTGGATTGCTAAAGATTGGCAAAATTAAAAAATCCTAACATTAAGAACATATCTTTCTGAGCAATGTGTTGAAGCTGAACACTAGTATCTACCTCTCGTTTGACAGGAATATAAAGTCTCCAGCTTTGAGCAAAGACTGATCAGTGAAATTGAATACAGGCTGGAAAGATCTCCTGTGGAAGAATCAGATGATGAAGTGCAACATGGAGATGAACCTATTGATAACAGTATGTCACCATATTTTGAGATAAAGCTGAAGCACTTCAAAATCTTTGAAGGAATGCCAGTTACATTTACATGCAAAGTGGCAGGAAATCCAAAGCCAAAGGTAAGAAAAGACAGTAAGTATTTCTAGAATTTCTCTGAAGAGTTCTGTGTTGGTACTTCACCATCAGGCTCTGGACTCTATGGGCTGTATCTTACAGGAAGTGGAGATATTCACACTTGACAAGAAAGACTCCTATCTGGCATAAAATGCCAAATCTCTTTTGGCATAACTGGAGTTATTCAGTTAAAATCTAGTAAAAATTGCAACTATGCGGCTTCTGCTCTCAGTTACTCCCTCCTGAGGCTTCTTCTTCTCAATTATTTTACCTGCAAGTAATGCTTCTGTCATTTTCAGAGTTACCTACAGGACACATCTGTAGTACACAATACAGTGCAATGCTAGAAAGCCCCCATGAGCTGGCATAGGAGTCCCAAAAGCCACCTCATTTGCTAGCATGGGTAATTAGTTCAGGCATGGCAGCATACTAATGCAAAAATATGTGGGTTCTAGTTCAGAAGCTAGTTCAGCGTGATATCTCATTCTTCAGCATCTACACACACTAACAAGACTAGATTTTACTGGAATGTAGAAGAAGGCGTAATAAAATACCATAAGCTCCCATATATCTCAACAGCAAGATGAGACATGATGGTGAGGTTTTAATGATGAACTTCTGAGGGTGGGTTTGGCTTGGGAAGCATTTCCTTGTAGCAAATATAAAAGTACCAGCTGCGTGATGTCAGTAGTCTGGAAGAATGCCCTACTTGGATAGGTTGCATACAACCATTTCAAAAATCGCTTGGCAATCAACTGGCTGATTATGCAGCAGGCAAACGGCAGCAGCTTCTTCAGCTCCCCTGCCAAAGCCAGTGTCTTCCCTGTGAGGTCCTCACAGCTCTCACAGTGACCTCTTGTGGACGGGGCCTCTTGTCTTAGACAAGGTCAAAGCTGCCCTGTGTGTTACATAAGACCTTCATGGAAGCACTCACATCCAAATCTCTCATCTAGTGTAAATTTTATGGGTGCTTAAGATTTCAAACAGAGATAAATGCAAGTGACTTTACATGCCAAATGATATATGTGTATGATACTGTACAAGCTGTTAATTAAAAAAAAAAAAAAAAGGACTTTATGAGGTAGCAGAGGAAGAACAGCAGAGAACTAGGACTACGTCTGCCTCAGCAAGGAGTGCAGACCAAAAGAAGAAAATTTCTAGAATGAGATATCCATCCCTACACATGTCAGAAGGTTTTACTCCAGGCTAGCTCTAATCTCATCCCACAGACTGAAGCAGACACCCATTAGATGAGTTCTTGGAGCACATTTTCTGGCTTAGTTTCATCTGAAAGGAATCCAGTTCTGTGCTCCAAGAGCACAACATGATGTGAACCGCTGCAAAGTAAGTGGGGTTGATCAGTATATTTATATCAAAAATGCATTCCTGCTTCAAACTGAAGACACACACACACTGAGAAGATAAGCCCAGTCTAAGTGAAACCAAACTTTTCATGCCTAGCATTAATTCTGAGATGACCATAGGTAAGAGTCTGTTGTACTAAACACGGGTGGAATGCAAATGGGTTTGTTGCTGACAGAAGCACAGTGTTTGCAGAGATACTCTTTCTGCCTGGGGCTTATGACTAAGTTGCTAGATGACCTATTATGAGTCAGCCTTAGTCAACTTCACCATCCCCTAATATCCACAGTTTCCAATTAAGGTGTAGTTTCTCTGTCTGATTTAAGACAGATGAAAGGGGATGTCTCCTTTCCCTCGGTGGGGTGATAAGGGTTGCAGAGCCAAGAAGCTGCCCTCAGTACTTCCCCTAGAGCTTGCCCTTTCAGAGGAGCATCTGATGTGAATGCCCTGTGGATCACAGCCATGTTCTGTTTTCCTGCAGTGTCAAAGCGTGCACATTAAGAAGTGATTTGCTCTTGCACCTGGAGCTCTGGCTCTTTTTTCCATTCACTTGCAGATGCTTTGTGTAATTTGTTAAGTTGCTTGGGATGGAACCAATATCAGTCCTGTTGTAGGGCTACTTGTTAGCCAGGCTTCACAAATGTCCAAGGCCGTGTCTCCCCCTCATCTGCCAGAGCATTCCAAGACAACAATTTTGAAAAGCTCAATGGCTGAGGGCTGCCCTTCTGCTCTAATTTGTTGAAGCTGGAAGTGTTGCTTGTGAATACATTTTTTACTTTGGCAAACGAAAAGCTGGAAATAATTTACTAACTTGAAGCTCCTCCCTTCTAAGTATTCTGTCAGGTCTGCCAAGGAATGGCTTTGGGAAGGACTGTAGTGTTTCTAAAATCTGGCATTCATTACAAGGGATTTTCCTAAGCAGAGTTATGGGCTTGATTATTTTTTTCCCCTGAACATGCCATGTAAATTGAATACTGATGTGCAAATTCTGGCTTCATATATATGACTTTTTAAATCTAAGCCTACTTTTTGTTATAACCTTCGGTGTAATGTAAAACTATTTTCTCATCAAAATGAAAAACCTATGGTGCTACAGGAGGGACTATGGAAGACTTCTTTTTAAGGGATTATTTCTCTTCAGAATTAAGACAATGCCATGCAAGAGGTTAATTGAGACACAAATATTACATAAATCTCATACTGCTCACTCTTCACTTGGCTGAATATAATTCTTGGTGATTACAAATGCTTGTGCTGCCCAAGATCAAACTCCTCTTTGTACTATGTATACCATTGTATTCCTAGTTATTACGCACTGGTTTCTGAAAATCTGGTGCAAATAAAAACAATCCAGATGCAGTGTTCAGTGCTCATGTAGGTTAATGGTACATTTATTAAAAGTTATCCTAGAAAGAAAATACTTCAGTGCAAGGGCCATTGTCTTCTGCAGTGGTAGTGTTTTACTTATTAACTCCATGTCAGATAAAGGTAATATAAAGAATTTACTGCTCATACGGGATGCCAATGCTTTTAAACTTAGTTGAAATAAATTTTGGACAACATATACATGATGTTTGGATAGCTGGTTCAGTTAATATTTGTGTGTATTTCCATGCATGTCTCCTGATATTTCTGATAAGTGTACTGTTACTAAATAGTTACTACTTAATGCAGTAGATTTCCAAGCAATATTATGACACATGTAAAGCATGCAAGTTAAAACTCATTTTTTGCAGCAATGTTGTTTCAGCACCCATTAGCATGTGTATATAAGTGATCAAATATCTCTTCCATCTCCAGTAAGTGCTCTGTCAGCAGACAAGAAGACGACTAAATCTTTTGTTCGGGCCACAGAGTCTCGGCAAGGCTGCTGACAGACAAAATGGGAAACAAGTATAACCAGCTATTGAGGAAATGAAATCATTTCAACTTACGCATAATGCTTGTTAATATAAAAATCATACACAGTAATAAATTTTAAAGGAAAATTTCCACTCATTTTCACCAAAAGGATCTCCATTGTTTTTTGTGAAATTTGAAAGTATACCTTTAATTTTTCCCCTAGTGAATGAATTCAAGCTTTGAAATGTTGGCACATATGAGGAACCCAGCAGATTAAACTCTATCAGGAATGGAATTGCACATTGCTCTGTCACTTCATTTTTTACTAGAGAGCCAGCACCCTTTCCTCACTCTTAAGACCTAAATTCCCACTTCAAGAATAAGGCTGAGCAAAATGTGTGTTTTCCCCATGCCAAATAGTTCCAGCAGGACCAGGACAAATATAATTGTACTTTGAAGGAGTTGGCCTCATAAAAATGGTGTGGGTACCTGCACAAGTGTCTCAAATGCTGAACACAATTGATGTTCTGTGTAGTACACATTTTGGAAATGACAAGTAAATAATGTTCTACTTAAATATAGGTTCGGGCAGCTGAGTACAGCCTTCCTAGTATAACATTTTTCAGATATTCCTCTGTGTGTGTTCATGAATATACAACATTTACTTTTGATCCAGCAGATATCAGTTTGGGATTTTACTTTATTATTATAATATAAAAAAAAAGTCCTGAAAGCTAGGTCAATTTTTTTCCCCCTTCAAGTTTGAGACACTAAAAATACAAATTTTTTGTGTGTAATTCATGGATTACATGTAAGATATTATCCTGCATACATCATTTTTTTGGCTCACTGAAAGTATATCTTGGGTCAGCCAGAGAATAAAATTATGTATCAAAAGTACTGGAAAAGCCCTCTGTTTGATGGCCAGTGTAACTGTTCTGTGCTGGTGTTGGCATGCAGTTATGAACGGATGTCGATGTGCTGCTTTGCTTTGAAGCATTTCCTATTACTTTGCAGAGCTGTCCACTTGCATAGCTGGCCTGTCACACCTGGGTGACATTGTTTAAATCCTGTCATTACACTGAGCTGGCCCCTCCACACACTCAGCTGCTCACTGCCAGCGGGAGCAGCTCTATCCCCTCTGGCAGTTTGGTCCAGTCCAGTCAGCATAATAGATATGAGACAAAACGGGTGTTTCAACAGTGAGATCATAGCTTCTATTTTATTCATCATTGAATTAATTAAGCCTATCATTATCTCTTTTTTTTGTTTTTATTTTCTGAATAGAGAGCAAAAGCATTCTCCAATTTTTCTGCAACTTTTGCAGATTTAAGCAAAATAAATGTAAAATCAGTAATCTCTGAAATGAGTAATCTTTTCTTTGTAATGACATTTAGTTTCAGTTCTTGAAATGTTCAGCCCTTATGCACCTGTATGTTTTGTTGGAAAATGTTCAGGCTGTTATTTCTCTTTGGTCCACAGATACTCTTGTATCTGTTAATGAAAGTGGCTCACAGAATGAGGAGTTGATCAAAGCAGTTTTGTTTTACTATTTACTGGACGGTTTTTCAGCAGTTAATTTCATTAGTGCTATTAAATGAGAAATTATGGCAATGGGCACCCACGTCTTACCAGCTGTGCCATGTTTTTTTCCTGCAGATTTATTGGTTTAAAGATGGCAAGCAAATTTCTAAACGAAGTGATCACTACCGAATTCAAAGAGAACCTGATGGAACTTGCTCACTGCATACTGCAGCCTCCACCCTGGATGATGATGGGAATTACACTATTATGGCTGCTAACCCACAGGTAGGTTTGGCTCCAGAGCAAACATCCTTCTGGACATAAATCTTCAGAAAACTATCTCATCTCACATATGCATGATTTAATTAAATGATGAAGTCACTGTAAAGTATGCAAGTTAGATTTCTGTTTTCATCTTGCATCAGTAGGGTGGAACCTTTCTATCTCCAAGAGATTAGCAACTCAACAGCAGTGTTTTTCCTGTGGTTTGAGGTTTCAGGGGGGAGTGGTGTAATTTTTTAATTTATCTTCCCTAGTTGTTTCAGCTGATAGCATCTCAGTATTGTAACTGAGCATGGATAGCACATAAAGGGAGAAAAAAAATCCAGTTTACCAGCAGAAGTAATCCAGTGCAGTGATTTAACTTTCTTTTGTTTACCCTATTCACTGACTGAGGCCAATTTTTTGAAATGAGTGGGAGTATATTACACCTCGACATGCTTACATTAGGCAGATTGCAAGTCTGTAAGGCAAAAAAAATCTAGCATTATTATGTAGCAGAATGGTATCCTGTGTTGATTCTAAACAGTGCTTTTCTGAAACACAGAGTGTTACTGGTTTAGCAATGCCATTTTTTCTTTGCAGATTTAATACAAGGGTTGAGGTACACGGCAGAAACCCACTAGTTCTTTAGACATAGCCAAATTTACAGGTCACTCATCCCATTTAAGTAGCTTTTTCAATTCACTTTTCCTATACCACAGCAAACTGAGGGGAAAGAGTTGCATGTGAGAAACCAAAGTAGTAACATAACTTTTGGGATGTAATGAATTATTCTCTTCTGTAGTGCCAAATATCTTGCCAAGACTAGGCCTGCAAGCAGAATCACACTGCAGAGTAACAAACTGTATCACGGAGGCCGAGTTTAATCTAAGCAGGAGTGTTGTGCTCTGTTGTGCACGTTGCTAAGTTACTCAGCACGACACTGCCTTTTTTGTCTCGCTCTTCAGCTTGTCAGTCCTGCTCATACTGCAGAGGGCTTGTGAATATAAGGGGTTGTACACATGGGGAGCACACACAGAGCAGCTTTTGGGTAGAGTCTACGAACTGCAGTGTTTAAACATAGGTGGTTTAATTATTATTTCTACATATATAAGTAAAAGAAATACTAATGAAACAGCATAAGGCCCTGGAATTGCTCAAGCTGGGAGCTTTTACGCATAGATGACATTGGTAGCATTTAAACTGTGAAATTTCACAACAGGTTTAAAAATATATGCATACTCAAGGTAAGAAATGGTTCCTGTTCATCTTCTTCTAAGTGTCTCAGTGCATGCACAGAGTTTCACTGTGCAGTGTTACTGTGTGATCTGAAGTGTTAGAGAACTTGAACAAACTGCCTTTGTGTTTGGGCACTGTGCTCTGTCCCTGAATATTTACAGCCTACTTTGGAACATTTGTTGCTCTGGATAATGCTCAATCAATGACACAACAGTGACCCAGGTTACCAGTTCTGGTCATTGATGGCACTACTTTGTTAGTGGGTTTTTGGATGTACTAAAATGAGCTGAGTTTGGGTGGTTCCCAGGTTGGAGCTTGAAAAAGCAGCTTTGTTAAATGATAAAATTCTGTGCTTGTGCTTTTTTCCCCTCTTTGGAGAAGAACCAGAAGCATCCTCCTTTTTACAGTGTAATTCCCAAGCAAATATACTTATCTATTCCACTATTTGCTTGCTTTTACTATGCATTTAACAGTACAATGGAGGCAAAGAAGGGCTGTGAGTTAATGTACTAACCTTTCACACTCAGAAATCTGGATTCCAATTCTTTTAAGTCATCCTGAGTGGAAATAATTTTGGCAAAGTCTTCTCAATTCTAATGGAAAGTTGTCCACGGCTCAAAGCTATCACAAACTTAGGCAAATTTGGCAACCTTTCCTTAAGAAAGCGAAGTACGTAAATATAAGGGAACTGACATCAGAGCTCTGATGGACTGGTAGATATTTGTTGTTGCTGTGTTTGGTCATTGCCATTGGAATCACCAAACTCTAAAGTAAAAGGCATGTTCTCAGCTGATAGAAATTGGTTTTATTAAAGCAAAGGATTCAGTTCATTAAAGCTCTGCCAGTTTATGCCATCTCATGACCTGGGCTAACATAATAGGGTTTATGTGTGTAAAAGGCCTTGTTGACAGAGCCTGGAGATCATCCATGGTAGTTAACACGGCAGGCTCCATTGCCCATGGTGTAAAGTGCAGCGAGCTGGAATTAAAGTTCTGACACACCACTGGGGTTTGTTGTAAAATTTGCCATAGAAGTTAATCCAGAGCAAATGGACCTTGGGCCTAGACAAACACAAAACCTTGCCTGATTTAGGCCTTTAGTTAGAGGTCATATCCCTTAACTGAGCTCTTTCTATGAACTGTATGGGCTTGCATCAAGTTCTAATTTTCACCTTCTTTCTTTTTATTCCATTCTCTCTGCTTCTTTGCATTACACACCCACAGTCCTCAGGCTGGAGTCTCCTTAGTTTCTAGGACATTGTCTCATTAATTACTTCCCACTCATTGCTTCCTTCCTCTTCATCCTGTGACTTTTCCAAAATCTTTGGCTTCCTGCTTAATCTTCCCTATCCAAGTTCTGTATTGCCCTTTGTGTTTCCATTTGTGTTTCCACCATCATGTATTGAGATATGCAGAAATTATCTCAAACTATGTGTATTCATCAGAAAAATATTAATATGTAGTGGTACCCAAAATAGAAATTCATTTGTTCCAGGTGTCTTTAATAGTCTTGTAACATAAGGGGAAAAATAAAGCTTTTACATAAGGGATTGCTGTGGCTCTTGCACAATGGCTTATTTTAGTGCAGGGATTTTACTTGCAGACTAAATGGGTCATGGGAATAGAAGTAGGACACAAACTTCATTTCTAAATGAACACAAAAGTTGTTGCTATTTGAAGGCTGCTTGTAAGCCTGGTGAAATTGGTTTTTGATGGGCTTTGGATAGTTCTTAAAGAACTGCTATTTGCAACCCTGCAAGTACGGTGATAAAAATATTTGTCACTTTTTATGCTGACAGACTTGTGTGTGGAGCTCACAGCTTAGAGCTGAAATACACTTCAAAGCTGATGTGGATTTTGCCTTACTGCTACCAGCCCAGGGGGTAAAGCTGCTATTTATTAGGACCACCAGATGCTTTTAGCCCTTACAGGGCAGTCCCATTCCACATCTGTTAGGACTAGTGTTTGTGGTGGAGAACCTGTCTTCTAAAACACAAAGTTAAAGAAAAAAGGAGACCAAATACACCAGAGCCATGTTAAACTTACCATTCATTGAAAATAACCACCAATATCACCAGCACAGCTGTGCCTTTTCAGTGCAATTCCTCAAACCAGATTTACTCTGCAGAGAGGACCTGTTCAGTACCTGTCAAATTCTTTTTGGCTTTCACATTAATGAGGGGTTTTTTGAGCTGTGGGCCCACCAGATCAAGTAGATCAATCCACTTTGGACGCAGCAACTCTGTTGTTAACTGCCAACACTCACCATGGGCCATCTGCAGGACCTGGAACTTGTCATTCTGCCCCCTTGACACACACAGAGACGCCTCCTGCCCCTATCAATAACAGTCAATAAGAACTTGACTGGCAGTGGTATTAATAGTCTTCAAAAAAACCCAAAAACCATGAATGTATTATAGTCACAGTCATTCCAGTCTGCTCTGTGTTAGATTGGAAGCTGATAAAACGGGTAGGCAAAAACAACAGATCAGGTTGAACACTTATTATTACACATTTTAAGTCTTTTAATGTTCCTTCTTTCTCTCATCCTAACAGGGCAGAGTAAGTTGCACAGGCAGGCTGATGGTTCAAGCTGTAAATCAAAGAGGCCGCAGTCCTTGGTCACCTTCAGGTCAGCCTCACATAAGAAGGTATTTGATGCTTTTATTTTTTCTTTTAATAATATGAATTTTGAAAAATAACTGTGGTAAGGTAAAGAATGCGAGGTAAGCAGATAAGTTAAAAGCATGGCATTCAGGAAGAAATGTGACTTCTGCTGTCTGAAAATTGTTGCAGAACTTGCACACTCAGAAGTATAAGCAACCCCTGAAATGACGTGACTTTCAAATTTCTTTCAATTTCCCTGTGTCCTCCTCCTTTCTCTGTGGTGTTCACTAGTTACTCTGTATCTCAAATTGCACTATCACCTGTTGGGAAGGCTCTTGTCACGTAGGTTTTTAAAAATATTTCATGTGATTAGGATTTTCCCAGGAACCTCCATCTTCTGCAGCTTCTAGTAAGTGTTCATTTAATAACTGCATGCCAAAGAGGTTTATCAGATTTACATTAGAAATATTTTAGTATTTCAGTATTTAGTATTTCAGTTCAGGTTCTTATAAGGAATTATGAGTCAGAAATAAAGTATTAAACTTATCTTTGGTGAGTTTACAATTATTCCCATATGAAGCTATGGGTTATATTTTTGGACCATAGAAGGGAATTTTCCCTTCAAATAATTTTCTTTTTCTTTGTCCAAAGCATTTATGAGGCTGTTTAGCACAGCTTAGACAGCCTTAGATGATACCAAAAAATTGATTTTAGTTACCAGAACTGTTTTCAGTTCTGGGAGTGTGAGGGCTCTGCTTCCTGGATTCTGCTATAATGAAGCATGTGCTTTGCTTAATGGTTCCAACAGCCATAGAATCTCAATATTGCCCAACTAATATACAGAGTACATGAAAGTACATGGTCAGTGTAAAACCAGGAAAGGATTTCTGTAACAGTTAGTACCGGTACTAGTATGTAATGTAGAACTACTGCGTGTAAAACAGGGTCTCTTCTCCCTTCTGGTAGCTATAAAGTGTTAGGAAGTGAGGGTGGTTGGTTAAAAGATCTTGCCAATCGTATTCCTGCACAGAACAAACTGCAACCCTGAAAGCTTTTCCCAGCATTTCTGTGAGATGGCCATTAGCTCCCTCTGCAGTGTGTCACTCTTTGTGTTAAGCCCAAAGCTCAGAGTGCCTCTGGCGAGGAATATCCTGCCAGGCTGCACTGTGAGAATAGCACAGAAAAGGCTGGGACCAACTGGTGTAGCCTGTCCAGTCATTAATGCACTTAGGGTCTTCAGATTATGGGTAAAAATGGAAAGTCCATGTTAACCCCTGAAGGGAAAAGCTGCCATGAAGAATCAGGTTTCAGCTGAATAAGTGAGTGCACACAGGGTGACAAACGGGAAAAAGACCTTTAAAAGCAAAGACAGTGGGAAGGTAGGTAGGGGTGAAAGCATCAAGCAGCTCCTGCAGTTCCTGAAGGACCAAATGTGTGTGTCTGTCTTTCTGTGATGGACAGAACCCTAGGGTAATAACGGAGGAGGCTCTTTTCAATCTTTCCAAATGCATACAATGTCCAAGGCCACTTCTGGCTGGTATTTTATTTTCTAATGGAGATAGGCACTCAAGCAGCTGCTAACGCTTTGGATTGGATGTCCAGTGGGTAATGAATTAGAAATAAGGGATTTCTGTAGAGCAGTTTAATTAAAATTAGGGCAATTATTGGGGATTCTTATTTCCTGTAAAATAACCATATGAAGGGCTTATCCCATTATCTTTGCTCTGGAAGAGCAGTTTCTGTAAGCATTCAGCACAGAATCCCTGTTTAGTGAGAGTTCTCACTCCTCCCACTGGAGACTGATGAAATGGGAGCACATAAAACCTTCCTAAGACAGACTGCTGCCATTGGCTTTTCTAATGTAATATCCCAAATTACTGTTCCCCCATGTACTATGGTATTTGTCATGTCTATTGCCATTGACTTTTGATAAGTAATATTTCTGTAAGCTTTTCTGCTTGACAGTAACAAAACCGTTTGTTTGCTTCTTTTATTACAAGTGTAATTATTAGTTTAATGAACTTTATGACTTGTTACTGTTGACATGCTTTTTCCTGAAGTATATTTAATCTCTTAAAAAATGTGTTCTGGCAGAACTCTTGGGTTCTATTTTAATGTATTTTTCTGAAATTTGCTTAGCTGAAAAACATCACTTTCCTAGCATCCTTGATGTGGGTGGCCACTTTTGAATTTTCTGATGTGTACAAAGCTTGGACTCAATCCCTTAGATGACAAGGTCTTCAACAAATATTGTGTCACCTAAGCATGACAGCCAGAGTCCCAAATAAACCTTAAAATGCATGAGATTTAAAGAAGATTTAAAAGTTAAACATTCCTATCACCCTGCTCTCAATTAGGGGAATAATTTCAACTTAATCTCCTTTATTCCAAATTAGTGATCATTACCATATGGTCAGTCTAAAGTCTTCATCTTCTTGTTCACTGAAATTCCCAGTGCATTGTACTGTATCAACCCGTGGAGTCTCCCCTGGCCACGTTTAGTACATGATGTCACTTCTGCTGAAACGAATCTCCACAATGTGATGTCCGTATTGCAACTCCAAAGAGCCCACAATGAATCCAAGAGTTATTCCAGTCTGTTGCAATTTGTCATTCCTAGACATGTGAGGCTACTTGGCTCTACTCATTTCATTATTTGTTTAAAACCACAAAATGTTTTAGAATTGAAATTACCCTCGTTTCACCTCTTAAGGCAGAGGCTTAAAAAAAGTCTGATTTTAGGGTAAACCTACAAATAGGTAAAAAGAAATGCAACATCTGTGGTCACAAATTCTTAACTTCTTTGTTTTCCATTTTATTTAGCATAAATTCCCACACACACACTCCTTCCAGTTCTGACCAGTGCTGCCTTTTCCTGCAGCTGCAGCAATGAGATGGTGCCTTTCACACTCCCGTGGTGCCAGTTCACCTGTTTGGCTCAGCTTCACAAAACCTTATGAAGCACCAGCTACTTGTACTTTGTTGGCATCTTATCAACAGGATGCTTATCAATAATGTGGAGGCAGATTTTGCCCAAGTTGCTTGCACTGTACAGCACTCACTTGACAAGATACCATAATTTCTAGTTTGGTCTTGCAGAACTAATTACCAAATGATTATCAGTACATTTTTTCCTTACTGCTCTCCATTTTCCATCCCATCTACCTGCACAAGGCACCTATGTCTCCAAAACTGATCAGGAGCTCACTAGATAAAGCTCAGAGGTGCTTATGAGCTGCAATGTTGGACCTTACTGAAGCAGCTTTAGTTCAAGTGGCAAAAACTGTGAGGTGCATCAGACGTGGATGAAGCCACCTGAAGAGTTACATGAGCTCTTAGTGTGTGCAGGGATGTCAGTCTGTGTTTCCCATTTCAATATCCAGTCCTACATTATTAAGCAGTATGGACTGGATATCTACACAAGCCCCCTCAGACCCCCATTTGCCTCTAGTTAAAGCTGCCAGAAAACTGATGATCCTTAAGAAGTCAACAGTGAACCGTTAATAAGAGAGAATACTGTAGCACAGGTGATGCCTGGCCAATTCAAACACAGCAATAGCAGAGAAAAGGGCAAAAACAGAGCAGAGAAAAATAAATCAAACTCAAGCAACTCTAATTAACTGCAGCCTCAGAGGAGCAGAGGATGCAGCTGGAGTGTTTATCTTCCATTCAGTAGTACAGCATCTTGTTTTCCAAATGTCACTATTGAGGGTTTTGCTCTTTTTTGTTGTAAATTACTTTAACCTGGAGAAGTGACCTTGGGCAGTAGAAGATGCATATGGGCACCTACACTGCAGCATGGACACTGCAAACAGCGGCCAAATCAGAAACACTGACAAAAGTTAACAGAATGTGGGATTCTGAGAAGAGAATTTCATTGTAATGTCTCATTGATAAAAGTGGTCTTTGGAGGATACTTGAGTAGCTCCTCTTCTTTACACAGGATGTTACTGTTAGGCAGCAGCTGGCTCCAGAATGGAACCCACTGGAGCTGATTAGGCAAGGACAAAAATGGATATAAAATTTTGTTGCAAGATTCTTTGATTACTAAATCACACAAATGGAACAATCTGATTTCAATGGAAACAAAAATCTTGTTAAATGAGGAACCACTTAGAAAAAGATATGATGGATTAAATTAACAGGCAAGAATAGCCAATGCTGAAAATTGAATAATGATATCATGGAAGCCTTAAGGTGATTGATACTGTGCATAGGGACAGGAGATATTTTTCTTTCCTTTATATTATTTATGTAAGTCTTTTGTCTTTATTAAACAAAAAAAACCCAAAACCAGCAACCAAAGTTATTCTTCCTATTGCTCACAATTGAAATTCTCATTGTTTCAATTCCACAGTTTGGTGGCATTGAAAATATTCAAGAGTATCTCATACACAAAACCTGTTAAATGAGGGATAAATATATTCACAGCAATTCAATACCAGAATCTTCTGTACAGTCTTCATGAGTGCAGAACAAGAGAAGATAAGTCTGATGTGAAAGATCTCTTGTCAACTGAGATGAGTTAGCTTTTAGTTGCTGTTATTTGCTGAAAGGGAGCCATGATTAATGAACAGTCCATGTACTTTCTGGTGTAATCAGCAGCAGTGAGGGGATTAGATACACAGGACATTAAAAATGGGGCACTGAAGCTACATGCCAAGGCCTGCCAACTTGTTTTATTTGTATTTCAGTGATTTAAAGACTAAACAAAATACTATAATTCATAAAATTAATTAATATTACAAGCTATTATTCTATAGCAATATTGTTTTATAGGTCACAGTTTGTCACAACATGTGAATTAAATGAAAGTAATTAAGTAACTGCAGTGTCATAATTCACTTGGTCTGGGCCAAATGCTACCAGTACTTGTGTGTAAATATGGGGTGATTACAGTGTAGGTCAAAGAAGTGGTTTAAAATTTAAACTAGCCTTATAAGTGATTATAGTTATTCTGATTTAGCAGAGAAAAAAAATAATGTACCTTTATTTCATGTTATTTTAAGACCACGATCTCGATCAAGGGACAGTGGTGATGAAAATGAACCAATTCAGGAACGATTCTTCCGGCCTCATTTTCTGCAGGCTCCTGGAGACCTGACTGTTCAAGAAGGAAAACTATGCAGGATGGACTGCAAGGCAAGTGTCATGCAAAGGGTAGCAGCAGCCTTTTGATAACATCAGCTGACTCAAAAACCACATTGGTTTCTTTTCAAAGCAATTTTGCCTATTGGCAGTTTCGGAGCCTGTTAGTAGGGTAATTTATCTCATTGCCTAAGAGTGAGTAAGTGGACAATACGAGTTTGCCTCCTCTTCAATGAAAGTGCTTCGGGCAAATCTTAGAGCTCACAGTAAACTGATTTATAGAATTCAACTATGCTGGGGTGTGGAGGGAAGCAGCACACCCTGTAAAGACAATGTGTTTCTATATTTTAAGTCCTTTTACTACTTGAGTTTTGAACTCCTGTTAAAAGTTTCAAACACTATAAACCTGATTTATGACTCTGCTGAAATAATTCAGGCTTGAGTGACTTCTGTTTACTTTATGCTGACCTATTTGGGAGAAACTGTTTGCTCTGAAGCAGTCCCCACAGCAAGTGGTACAGCTTTCAAGAGTGCAGTACTTGTCCACACAGACCGAGTATTAACTAGTGTAGGTGGTGCAGTCACTAGGGCACTCCTCAGTGGAATGCAACTTTGGAGGTCAGTAGTTAGTCAGCCAACATCTTTTTGTCTGCAAGTTTTCCAACAAAAAGTTAATCTATAAAGGAGTATCTCTTCATTCCACCTGAAAGCAATGAAAGAAAACAAAAGGTGTCACCCTGCCTTTTGTTTTGCAATATATTATTATTTAGCTTCTAGCCTATCTACACACTGATCTTTTTTCAGTTGTGCCCATAAGACATCATGGAATTCAGGGAGTTGGCCAGAAAGTAAGTAAATTACTACAACTGACTCAATGTATAACTCAGGACAGAAATAGATCTTTAACTCTTTAGGTACACTTGCAGTAGCAAACCAAACCACACTTCCCTGAAGTAACAAGTCAGGACTCCTCCAGTGTTTCATGTGGCTAAAGTAATTTCCCACTGTTCTCTTTACACTCAAGGTCAGTGGATTACCTACTCCAGACTTAAGCTGGCAACTTAATGGCAGACCAATTCGCCCTGACAGCTCTCACAAAATGTTGGTGCGTGAGAATGGGGTGCACTCCTTGATCATAGAACCAGTCACAGGCAGAGATGCTGGAATCTACACGTGCATTGCCAGCAATCGAGCTGGTGAAAATTCATTCAGCCTGGAGCTCACTGTTGCAGGTAACATCTTCATGCTAAGCTTTCAGATTGAGCACTGGCAGGATAGCATGAGAAAAGGAAACATGAATGATGTCAAATGACAGGTTGGGGGTGGAGGGTAAGAAAAGAAAACCTGGCAGAAGTATGGTATATTTATAGGTGAGCTATTCATGTTATGTTGTGGCAGAAGCTGACTGGCATGTAATGCCTGTGTGCACAGTCAGGAAAAGGGGGCTGCTGACCTTGAGGCCACAAACCAGACTACTGCCCTGGATGTTGCTTTGTAATGACAATTTTTGCAGACCCACATCTACCCCTGGGCAGCCAGTGGGAATGCCTTGTGGATTTCACAGCACATCAGGCTAATCCCACTGCAGACTTCTGGTACAGCAGTTCCTTCTTCAGTTAAAAGTCCATACGTTTGTGGAACAGGGGGGAGCACTTTTAACCAAGCATAGTGCAGCCAGTTTATCTAGTTGTCATGGTCTACATTTCAATTATTTTAGGAAAAAAATCAGCTTTTTAGCACTCACTTTTCCTCCTGTTAAAATAATGATGGGACTGTTTTCTTCAGAGGAACCAGGACTGAACTTTGTGATTAATGAAGACAACACTTACACTTCCTGCCACTTAGGTCTTTCGTAATTGTTTTTTAGCACACTGCTGAAAGAAAGGCTATGTTCTCATAGACAAATGTCAACATAACTGCAATCTTTATTTTCACAGCTAAGGAAATACAAAAAGCACCTGTGTTTATAGAGAAGCTACAAAACACAGGTGTGACTGAGGGATTCCCAGTGCGACTGGAGTGTCGAATCTCAGGGGAGCCATCTCCTCAGATATTTTGGAAGAAAGAGAATGAGTCACTCACGTACAACACTGACCGAGTGAGGTTAGATTGACTTAGAATAATCTCCCCATGTGTAAATTCAGTGATGATTTATCCTGTAAAACAAATAAAAACCTAAAAGGTCACATGAACATTCTGTGTAAAGGGCATCTCATAAATATTAACTAGTGATTGTAATAATTTATGACATTTACTCAAACTTGCAGCCAGCCTGGTGGCTGAACCAGAAATTAAATGTTACTTGTTTTCCATCATTAGACCTACACAACTACCTTTGCACTCTGAGCAAGAGAACTAGTTTTTCTCTGCCTGAATCAAGACTACAGAAATTTGCTAGTGAAAATCAAGGTTCCAAAGGAACATTCCATGCTTTTCAGCAGAAATTCTGATTCATAATTCTGCTGTACAGTTAAGCAACTAAGATTCAGTATTTTATACTTTAAGATCTTCCTCGAGTTTCTTTATCTTTTCCACAAAAAGTCTGGGTAAGATCTGGTGTTCCTGCTACTCCAGATGTCTTAATCCATAATTACAGAAAAGTTACTTCATGTGTTTTTTCTTTAGTTTTGAATATGGGATTTTAAACTGCCAAATTGTCAAGCATGTTCAAGGCTTTATTTTCTACCTGCTAATTTCAGAGGAAGTTCCATTTTAATTAAAATTTGAATTAAAGTTAGACTATAATCTATCTGTAACTAAAATTGGGTCAGTTTATAATGCCACCTTAAAATACCCTACACTGGCTTGTGATTTAAATAGTAATTTTCTACTTTTCTTTTGATTAGCATGCACCAGGATAACTACGGCTACATTTGCCTGCTTATTCAGGGAGCTACAAAGGAGGATGCTGGCTGGTACACTGTTTCAGCTAAAAATGAGGCTGGGATTGTGTCTTGCACTGCCAGGTTGGATGTTTATAGTAAGTGGTTTCAATTTTCATTATCATATTAATTCCCCCAAAAGCAACAGTTCTGTAAGTTTTGGGTTATTCACAGAATGGTTTACATTGGTCTCTCTTTCTTTTGTTTATAGTTTCTCCTCAATAGTAAGCATCCACTTCAAGACAACAAATGCTCTCTCAAAGTATATTTCATCATCTTTCAGATACCTAAAGAAAAACAAGCCTGCATGCTTTCTGTTTTTGCTTAGTACATTAAATATAGCTAATTAACAACAGATAACGGCATGATCATATGATTTTTGTGGATCATTATTACTATTGTTTTGTTGGCACTTCCCTAACCTTTTGGATTCTTTTGTACATTAGTCTGTAATACACCTGTGACAGCTACCAGAAGTGTAGTAGAGTGTTTTTATGGCTTTCTGCTTAATTACTCAGTTTGTTCCAAAGCATCCCCATATATAGTGAATCTTTACTTAAAGAAGTATCTCTTACCAGTCTTCTCATAGCAAGAATTAAGGGGGAGGGGGAAGGGGAGAGAGATAAAGGATGATTTCTGGGATGGTGCTGGAAGTGGGAATTGTGATTAAGAGATTTGGCTCAGCATTCTTCAGCATACAAGGGGCAGCAAAGGCAACCACATAATTTCCTTTTATATGCAACAATTAACCCTAGAACGGGCCTGTTACTGTAATAGGAGTGCACCGAAACAACCTCCTTGCTGTCACCTTTCTCAGTGGCACAAGGAAATGTAGAAAACAATGCCAAAAAGTAACACAGCTGTAGTATTTACTTACCACATTTGAAGGTGAAACAAAACAACAATGCCAAGAAATTAAACAAATTTACCTTTGATACAATGACTTTCTGCTTCTCAGAAATTACTGTCTCCTTCACAAAGGGTTGACTGAGCATCTGGCACACTTATGTGCACAGCTCAGGAAGGCTAACACTTTTTCTTTCCTTTTTAATCTACAGCTCAGTGGCAACAACCCCCTCAGCAGACCAAGCCAAAGAAGGTGCGGCCCTCAGCCAGCCGATACGCTGCTCTCTGTGACCAAGGACTAGACATCAAAGCAGCTTTCCAGCCGGAAGCCAATCCAGTCCACCTGACAATGCAGCCTGGCCTGGTAGAGAGCGATGATCTGTAGATTCAGCTGCCACTTCCATCATTTTCTTTCAAAGCAGAAACACTGAAAGCCATTGCCTTGACCAATGATACTCCTATGTCACTTTATGCAAGGGCAGACACCTTCATGTACAAAAGATAAACAACAAACACAGTAACCGTATATTCCTTATTCATTATACCAAATTAGAATAATAGATAGATTATTAATAGAAATGTACACATTGCACAACAAATCACACTCACCAGTTCCTTAACCTATGTTGCTTCATAACCCTTTTCATAGAGGCCAAAATGCATCAGAGAGAAAGATTTTTCACTACATACCTTTGCAAGCAGTAAGTAGATGCTACACAGTCTTAATGGTGCAAGATGTTTTCTTCAAGGATTATCAGCAGTTCCAAAATGGCTACACATTCTGACAGCTATGATGAACATGTGCAATACTATAAGAATAAAACAGAAAGGGACAAGAAAAAGAAATGTAAGCAAACTGCTTTCTGTTCAACAATGAAAAAAAAAATCTTTCTTTCAATGCTGTTAGTATGGACATTGACACCCTAATTTTCAATTCATTTGTGTTTTTCCTTTTTGCCATCTCAGAGGAGGCTTATTTACAAATATATAGCGATGGCAGTCTAAGCAGAGGCAATTATATTTCTGCAGGACAACCAAGAGTTGACACATAGTAACAATCTACTCCAGATTACACATTGGTAATTAGATGGGAAAAAATGCTGATGGTATAAACCACTGCAGTGAGTTACTGCAAGGGGTGAGAGGGGCACTGGGCAAGAGGTTGAAACTCTCTGGATTGCTGGACAGCAGTGTGTAATCTTGTAATACTCCCATTCAAGATTCTGAAATTCTAAGGTGAGCTGAAAACTAGGGAGTGTATGTATGGGATGTTTGACTGTTTAAAGCTTGTGTAATATGTATGAGGATTTTAGAAATGTATAGTAAGTGAAAAATGGGTTGAAACTGCAATATGGATATAAATGACATGTATACACCACAGGCGATAGGTTTGCAAATCCAAGGAAGTAGAAAATGAAGATAGGCAAAAAAATCCAATTTGCTTTTTGCTTTGTCTTCTTAACATAACACATCTCTGGTAGATTTTATTTTTTCCTTCTCCTGACTGCAGGCAAATGTCAACTCTTTTGAGGGGTAGAGTCTGTGCACCATAGGTGAAGAGCCTGAAGGCTATTTACAGAACACAAGGCAAATCCACTTGGAAGTGGAGCCCCACTTAAGTCACACCTGACTAGGTAGTTTTAAAATAGAACCAAATGAATTTCAGTTGAAGGGGAGGGAGGGAGAATGGATGGATGGAAGAATTACTAGGCCTGACAAGGAAAATGAGTGTTTGATGGTACGAGCTACAATACTTTGCTAGGAAAGGAAAACACTGTATTCCTTATATGAAGCACATATATGGCATCTTTCATTATTTATAATAAAAGTGTTGAAATCTTTTATCTCAGTTCATTTATTCAGAAGTCCTGTACTTAGGGGTTGGTTTGTTGTTTGTTTTTTTTTAATTTTGTAATTGTGTACACCATATATTGCATTACTGCTATACGTGTATTGCTTTGTAAGTACACGAAGTTTGTTTTGTTTTTTAGTGACTAATAAACTTTAGCACACAAGGTAGTACTATTCTGGTGCAGGATATGACTAGTAATGGGGATGGTTGATCTAGATTAACATCATAGTCTGTCAGGTGGGAATAATCTGATTTTATTCTAGAAGTATGTCATATCTTTTGCCAAATTTTCCTCAACTGTGACATGCTAATTTACTTTTTTGTTTAGCTTCACTAGCATTATTTTGCCACCTTTTATTTGTATTTATAAAAATGTATTATCATTACTTTGGACTGTTGTGCTGATATAATGTGGGTTTAACATCAATAAATATTACACAAATAGAAAGTTTTCTTTCTGGTAAAGATTAATAACTGTTTTGGTACAAGCATTCAAGTGTAAGATTTGGAAATTTTAAATATTATGAATACAGATTAAATAAGGCATAAACGCAGCATCTAAAAACTATTAGAATTTATCAGACCTAGAATCTTGTTTGAACAGAACAGAGGAACATTACTCATAAATTCTGAGATACTTTTGCCAAATAGAAGAACTAGAAGATACTTTTTTTTTCATAGGTTAGAAAATACGCAGGTCTGTTTTGTATTTCTAATAATTGCAATATGTTGCCACTTTTAACTGATTCTAAGTAAAAGGCATGGTCTGAGCACTATTAAATTCACATAAGAGCCTGATAACAAGACAATATCAGAATTTTAAAAAAAAGTCAGATTTACTTACAAAATCCTGACTATTAACCACTTTCTCCTACTTTTTTTTTAATATGAAGATACCAGGAAAGATGCATGGTTATCCATTTTTTCTTTGGGGTTTATATTTCAAGGCATTGATCACTACAAACAGGCTTATGTCAGCAATTAAGTGAGCACTGACATTAATGGCTATATTGCAACTGAAGTCACTGGAGTTGTGTCTGCTCACAGTACTTTTGGCTTTGGCACTAAAAAACCGAGACTGCTTTTTGAGCTTGTTGAAGATGAGGTCATCATCACTTTTTGCCTCTGTATATATGTACAGACACACTTAAGTAGTAAATCACATCTCTAAGCAGCAACATTGTTTTTATGAAAACATTCAGCTGTGCTGTTACTTAGTTACTGGGACTGTTTGGGCTTACAAAGTCAGAGATAGAAGCGTGGCAATAAGCAAATTAACTTCTCAAGCCAGAAGGCAAAAATTCTTGGAAGCACCAAAGTAACTTTCAGAAGTTTAATCTCCTTCAACACAGTCCAAAGATAGATAGTGTGACCTGAGAGCGTACTTCTGTCATTTTTTAAGACTAAAAAAAAAGGAGCCTTGACTTTTTGCAAGACTTCCAATTTAGGTATGGGAAAACTTCAAATTATTTAGGAAGCTGATCAGTTCAAGCATATTCGTAGCAATCAATGACTCGATGCAACAATGATCAGGGTGACGACAGAAAGCTCTGTGAAGAATACCAACAGTGAGGTGCAAAATTCCACATGCATGAAGGTTGTTCAGCTGGTGGTGTACCTTAGCACACAGTGCCCTTATCCTACAGCTTTAAGGCAACAGCAACAATTAAACATTCACAGTTTGCTTCCATCACAGCTAACTGGTGGTTGGGGATCAAAACCAGTCCAACTTGAATCTTCACTGTATTCTGTATCACCGCTTTCAAAGTCTATTTTAATTCACTTAGGGTGTATGCTAAGAAATGCCTTGATCCCCCACATCTGGACCACTACATCCTCACCTCTGCAAGTAGCCCAAACAGATTTCATATGTAAGTACTTCATGAGCTCACATTATCCAACATGCCATGATGCTGAGGGGATGAGCTGCATTCTCTGACTGCATGACCCAGCTGCCAAACCCACACCATGCACTACAGATATATTCGTGTATGGACTAGAAATGCCTGCTTGGATTATGCAGGTTGGCTAATTCATTCCCTCACCATTCAAATGTACATGCAAGGGGTAGAATTTACTGACATTTATCTCATTCTCCTGAACTAAAAGAAACAGCCTCCGCACAGATTTTCTGTTTGAACAGAAATATGAACCCATAAAACATATCAGGCAGATGGAAATACAGTTCCTGCCCCGAAGAATTTACAATGTATTCCAGACAGCACACAGTATCTTTGACTTGTCTTAAAACTTGCAACTCTAACTCAAAGTTAAGTCACTTTGCATTCTTTAACAGAAGTGATTAACTCATAAAAAAATCTAATACTGCACTGCATCTCTAGTAAAAATGTGTTTGGAACATAATGCTCAGTCATGTCTAGAGCAAAGAAGCCAGACAACGAGCAGCAGTACCTGCACAGCAATGATTTCAGCAGCCACACAGATGGAGACGAACTCCAGCTCAACACCACCTAGAAGGAGAAATTTTGTGCTTTATAGAGCAACTGCAGTGTAATAGGTAACCCTGGGGACTGGCCAAGTCTTGTAACTGCTATTACTTTCTAGTTCTGTAGTAGCATAAATGTTCCAGAAACAGCTGCAGAACAAGAAAGCAGAAAAACATAACAGTACCTGGCCATTGCACAGAATGATTACAACACCTACAGAAGGAGCTCTACACACCAAATGGATTATGGTAAAATTTTTCTCCTGTATGTTTAACAACTGTTTCAGGAAAACATATTGTCAAGCTTTTTTGGACAAGTCTTGGCCCAGACATCACAGAGTATTTGTAGAGAACTGAGAGTAGAAAACCCAGACTGCCAAAAGGACCTTTCTGAGCTACTGCAAAAGGTGCTGAAAATAAGACTTTCTATACAACAGGCAACACACCTGTAATCTATTGCAAATTAAGGACATCTCCATATTGATGCCCTGAAAATTATGTTGAACTCTTAAAAATTACAGTTGCTCTCTGTTCTACATATGCATTCCAACAACAGAGCTACAAGAGCCTGCAAAGAATAAATGCAGTTCCAGTCTGCTGCTGGCAGGGACATCTCACCATCAAAAATCATACATGCACACTAAATGACATCTGAACAAAACACAAGAAATTACTGTATTCCTTCTTTTCTCTGAAGCTTCAGGAAGTTTTCAGTAGAAATTTACCAAATGTCTGAAAAAGTAGGATAAAAGGTCATATTGAGAGGAGCAGAATTTAAACACTGCAACTGAGAGCTTTTAACAGGTCATCAGCATCCAGGTGTTGACAGCACAGCCTCCAGCACAGAGCTGGAACACGAAGTTCATGCAGAACATGCATGTAGTGCATTCAGCATTAGAAATACCAGCTAAGAGATCTGCAAGTTAGAATTCACAAAGCATCAAACTGCTTCACTAACAACCTTCAGCAATACCATATAATCAGTCTGCAGTTAGTCTTAAACAAATTATTCAAGATCATGCAGCAATTTCAAACCCATCAGCACGCTACACATGCAAGGGCACCTCAGTACCATCAGCCAGCGGCCTGGGAAATGTTGAGGAACATCTACACAACACCACTTGTTCAGTGACATCTGCCCCCCCATGCTCCTACTGACACTGCCCTAATGTGTGTGTAATGATACCATGGAAGCTTTGGTGGCTTTTACTTGGGTGTTGTTTCACTGCGTTTGATACTGACATGTTCAAACTGCCAGTTTTGCTATATACAATGAAAAAAACATACCCTAGACCTTAACAGAGACTAGCTGTTAACATAAAAAACATTAAAATACCAAAACAGTTGTGATTACAGTCATGCTGATCCAAAGACTTCCGGCAAAGTGCACGGGTAGAATTTTTTTACTTAAAAATGGATCTTTAGCAAAAAGCCTTTAGCATATGATCTGAAATTGAACACAATGTGTGTGTGAAAATCAAATATAACTTGGGACTTAGGAGAGTTCTTACTTTTTCAAGCACTAAGCACACCTAGTGACTTCTCTCCACAACCACACTTGACCTGTCTTTTCAAACATTGATTAACTGAATCAAGTGGGTGCACTTGGCCTTGAAGAGTTCATTTTTTCATTAAAAAGTCACATAATTGCAACAGGCAATATACGTTTCAGGGTTCAAGCAATACAACCTCACACTGTGCAACACATCAAAGTAGTAAAATTTGTCTTACAGCAATAAATAATCATAATTACAATGAATGCTTTAACTGCAGGTAATAATACAACAAAGATCTTGCAGGCTAAGATATCCACTTTCTATCCAAGTTTCTAATCTCAGTATGAAATCCTTCCCATCTTTAAAAATCATGCCTTACAACCCTCAGCAGCTCAGGATATATGGAACAGGATTTTACAAAACCAGTAACAGGGATGCCAGCCATCATCTTTGCATCTACACAGGCAACTCCGCTTCCCTAAAACAATACAGTTTCACTCACCAAGTCATTACCACCACAATAATGCCTTAGGATAGACTGCCCTCAGGAGGCCACAGTGAAATCTCTTCATGGGATACAACCCTAACTCACTCAGCATGCATCAACTCAGCCAACACTGCACACTTCTCTTACCATAGTCTGCAAAAGCTGTTCCCCACCAGAGCTCCTCCTTACAGATGCAATATTTTTTAAAAATCCCAAACCCAAACCATCTTATGAAATTTCATGCATCCTACTACAAACTTTTACTGACCATAATCACAGAATCACAGATAGCTTGGGTTGGAAGGAACCCTAAAGATTGTACAGTTCCAAGCCCCCTGTCATGGGCAGGGACACGTCACACTAGACCAGGTTGCTCAGAGCTCATCCAGCCCATCAATTGCAACAGATGCCTCAGTTGCAAAAGAAGACTGTTTGTGTTAAGACAGTAAGCTCACTACAACAAATTCTAAGTTAAAAACATATTTCTTTAGAGATAAGCAGAAGTAAGGCTCCAACGACCTACCTAGGACAAAAGATGAATAAGAGTAATCCATTATCTTCCCAAACATTAGAAAAATGCAGAGAAGACATACAAAACCACTAACTTTCTAGGTCTACAATGTGCTTCAACTAAACCCCAGAATATGCAAATCACACTACCTATGAACTTTGAATTGACTCAAACCCAACAGAGGAACAATTTAGGTTTCCTAACTTGGCAGTGACAAGGCAGGTCACAGAAATGAGTAAATACTGCAGTACATAACCTTTTTTAGCAAGGATATCATCTCTGAAGCAGGAACCAGGTGAGTAAAAACTCAAAGCAATCATTATGGGTGAGTCAGAAAGGGGATTGCTGTAAAACAGGACTGCATGCTGAATTAAATGACAGCTGCAAAAGCAGCCACCCTCAAAACATGCCTTGATAATCTCTTTAGAAATTCTGTGGTGGGAGTGAAAGGCCATGTAAAAACCAGTGACGTGGGGTGGGGCACAAGAAAAGATCTGGAATAAAACACAAAGTTAAACATTAGACTTGTGCTGCAGCTTTCTTTAAATGCTCCCAAAACTGGGTGGATGAGGAAAAGTTTCAATGCATGCCTGAAAAAACATTTGTACGAAGAGAGTTACAGATTCATTAGAAACTGCAGAAACATGGAGTAGTGGGAATCCATAAATACTCTACTCTTAAAGAGAAAAAAAAAAGGCAAAAAGATGCTGGTGTTTAAGAGCTTATAGAAGAGTTTTAAGCAATATAGTGGGTGAAAAAACAACAGATGGCTAAGAGCACATTCACTTCCATCAGGAATGGAATCACAGAAACCATGTCTAATAAGATAGTGGACTGAAGTTTTCAAAATTCAATTGAAAAATCATTGTAAGTTAGTCAAGTGCACAGTCTGATTCACAAACACCCATATGCAAAATACCCCAAACATTTATATGCAACTTGGCATAAATGCCAGCAGCACAAGATGTAAAGCCTGAGTGTCTGCTTTTCATCAAGGACACAACAGACATACCAGAAATAGGATGGAAGTAAGATAAAAAAGTAAGATATTGATACAAAATATACAGAAGAATCATAAAAATAAATATCAACGTTTTAAATCATCCAATCAAATATGGATTTAATTTCCAAACCTAGCAAGGTAAACTCTGTTATAAGATGATATTGGTACTCACACCACTAAGATGGTGGCCAGAGCTATGACATCTAAGGCCAGCAATGTAACTGTGATGACAGACAGCAATCATGAGTACATTGGATAAATGTCACACTGAAGAGGCCAAGATCATTTTTTTAATATATTCTTTTTCATGCAGCCAATCAGGGCCACCCAGCTCTGGCTGAGGTCACCCCAACCATATTAGGCCTGAGCCAAAATGCTATTTTCAAATAGTGATTTTTTTAACGGTGACTTTTATTTCTGCAAATCTATTGACCAACTTTATTAATAAAGACAGAAGTCCACTACCACAGACTTTCATTTTAAAAAAGCAACATATAACAAGAAAATATTAAAATGAAGCCAAAAAGACAAGTCAAAATTAAGAAGCATACATACATCAAATTAAACTTATTTTTGTGGGGAGGGGGAAGCTCCTAGCATTTAAACATTAACCTTTGCCAAACCAGCAATCTAGCTTTAGGAGTCAAATGGAATCAGTCACTGAATGTAACATTTACAGCCAAGTCAGAGTGAATAATGATGAATAAACTGTAAAAGTCCATTGACACTGACCAGCACTTGAGAAACAGGAACCGTGCCTGAAGAAGGCAAGCAGATGATCAAAGTAAAAAGCAAAGTGCTCAGGGAAGGAAAGATCACTGAGGAAAAAAATCCCCAGGCTCTGAACAAATCCCTATGATCAGTGTCTGGTACCATGCAGGAACTCAAGGAGAAGCTTTATAGGCAACTTGTTGAAGGTTTTCCTCCCCGGAGCAAAACATCAGGACAGGTTAGAGAGGAAAAAGCAACAAATGGGGGGATGATGGAGGCTTTCACCCCCCTGTTCTAAAAGAAACCAAGGAACTCCATTGTGAAACTTCTGAGTGAAACCTGCCTCATTATCAAGTGACTGGAAGCTGGCAAATGGGACAGTAAGTTTTTGTGATTTTAGTGAGTGGAAGATCTCTTGCTTTTTAAGAAGAGATTCCAGAGGGATCCAGGGAACTAAAGACTAAATATATTTTTCTGTACATATCAAAGTGCCAGAATTTGTTCTAAAGCCAAGAAAATGATAGGATAAACATACAGAGTTGCTTTTGCAAAGTAAAGTTGTGTTTGATAAACATTTTAGAGTTCTTCTAAAGAATAACTTAAAAGAGATGAGAGTACAGAGATCTAATAATGGTGCATGCTTGAAATTCTAAAAGGCATTCACTTGCCAAAAACTATTAAGATGTTGTGCTGCCAAAAGAAGTTGTCATATCAGTACCTTGTTTAAAGATAGAAGACAAAGGGTATGAATCAGCAATTGTTCTCCCCTAGGGATGTGCAGTGCCAATAGAACACCTCAGTTCCTCTCTTGGGGCAGAAAAGTACAACTGATTTCTAAGGGTTCTGAGGCAGCAGTTTCTGAATGCCACAGTGTATACACAGAGTAACATTAAGTTACACAAAGTAACAAAGGCATTAAGGAATTTAAAAATTGCAGAAACATTTCACCGAGGAAATAGGTGTTAAAACCAGCAAATTAAATCTCATTGTAGACATTTGAGAAAAAATTATGCTGAAAAAAATACAAAAATTCAGACTTTTGAAGATATATATGCCAATGGACTCCAAGTTGACCATTAATTACTCATGACTGAGTTATTGTTCTGAAAATAGAAGTGCAAAGGTTAGGAAAAAGCAAAACTCTTAGGCATCATTTTTGGAAACAATATAGAACAAAACATAAAGCAATTAAATTTTTAAAAATAGATCCACAGTGAATTCTGCAAGAAGTTTTACCTGTTGCTCCTTCCTTGAGAAACTGGAAAAGCAAAGCGAAGTTCAACAAATACAATTTAAGATACAAAAGAGCTCTCCAGTAGCAAGCAATTAAAAGAAATATGACTCTTCAGTACAAAACAGCAACAATTAAGGCAGGCAGGATAAGATAGAGGTCTAAAAATTCAAAAGCAAAACAGAGAAAGCACCAGAGGGCTGTTTTTAGTGCCTGCAGGTCTCAGCCAGAGCTACCCATTGGTGGGTTCAAAGATCCCAGTCACAAACAGCTGGAAGTACCAGAGTTTTCTAAGGACACACACCTGATCTGTTGCCTACCCTGCACATTCTCTGCTTTCCCTGTCCAAGACATCATAACAGGCCAGACAGAAACAGGATTATGTTAACCAGTTTTCAGTTCTAATTTACCAGTTCAAAGAAAAGGCGGGGAAAAGCTTTTTAAAAGTATGATTTAAAGGTACTTCAGTCTGCCCCTATGGCAACAGCAATAATAAAAACATAGTATGTACTGGAACTTTTTAAAGAAATTACTTTGTTGTATGCTGAGATTCTTCTGACAGCTTTATTTCAGGTTTTAATTGCAATTGTAAACTAAAAATTATATTGCTAATAACTTACTTAACAGGTCCCTCACCAAAACACAAACAAAACAAACAAATAAACAAAAGTATAATAATAATAATTAGGGTCAGAACTCACTAAAAGAGAATTATTTCTAGTTTCTTAGGTTTGGCTTTTAGTCAAGACCTGTCACACAGGGTTTGTTTGTAAAATACCAAGGACGGGTATGGGCAGCAGCCAAGTCACTGACATATTCCTACTTGACTAGTGAAAATGTACCAGCTGTCCTTCCTCACCTTCAGTGCCCTTGGAAAAAAATCACTTGGAAAAAATCTCTAGCCAACTCTTTCTATCAAGGAAAAACATAATTAGCAATTATATTTTTGGTGCAAAGACACATATGACACTTAACAACAATAATAGGAAGGCAAGGACTCCTGGAAGGATTACTTCAAGCAGCATTTTAAATTCCAAAGTGAGTAGCACAACCAACTGTAAAATCTCATGATCATACAAGTACGCCTTGTATTATTTCTCAATACATACCTGCAAGAAGCTTGAACATGCACTGTTTACTGGCATAAAGACAAAACTTCTCAGCTGCACAAATGAAGAAAATCTTCAACTTTAAAGACTCAGTTATCATCAGCAAGATCTCTTCTTTCTCTACTGTGGTGTGTGCCAAGATGGGAAGTAATTTCAAAAGCTGAATCAACATCTGGATCATGATGCAATGAACAACAGAGCTAAGAAGTGAAGGTCCTGAACCACATTCATAGTTTTCTTCAGAGACAATAAAAACATCAATTACCAGAAGTTACTTGAACTCAATAGAAAAGCCTGAGGTCAAACATTTGGTAAGTTTTCAGCAAGACAGGAACACTCAGAATCATTTACATCAGAGTAATTCCTCTGCTTCAAAACTTGCTTGGAACAAAATAAAATGGCTATTTCATTGACTATACATATATATGAGGGAGCATCAACTTAACAGCTGAACCGAGTGTTCATGAAGATACAGAGCAAAACACAAAACACCTTGACTTCCTGCTCTGGAAGTGATAAATGCTCTAAACATCTACTGAGTCCTTGCAAAGTGTCTTACACAGCAAGGTCTGCAGCTGTAGTGTTCAGCAGTGCATGTGCAGCTCAAACTGAGAATATGACAGGATTAGCAGCTGCAGTGCTGCAGCAGTCCTTCAATGGGCACACATAAGAGCCACTGGATTGAGTGAGTGCCGTACATACATTCAGTAATGGAACCAAGCAGGCTTTGTCTTTATAAAAACACATTGCATATAATTAAATCTTCTAAAGGCAATTCAGGTATGCTGAAGATCTAGAAGTTCCTAGCTTTGTAGTATTAGGTACAAACAAACAAAGCTCAAAAGAAACTCCTTGCTACTTTGTAGGGACTAACTGATAAGAATACAAAACTATGCAGTTCACAATCTTTGCCCTACTTGAAAAACTTGATGCAATCATGCCTGCCACCCAATAAACATGTCTCTGCACTTTATTAACCTTTGTGTAACATGATAATTCAAATAAATTCTCATTCTATCCCAAATCAGAAAACAAGACTTTATAAAAATACAGTGCTTTAAAAACTTATCAGCACATTTCTAAAGCTATCACCGTATCAAAACCAGATCTTTTTCAAATTGTTTCATACACAGACTTTGTAATACCAAACAGACTCTTTCAGGCAGCTAAACACACACTTCACTTGCACTTCACTGCTGCTGAATTTCTCCTGTGACTAAACAAGACCAAATCAATTATGTACATCAATCATCAAACAATTTCCAACCCTCTCCCTTTATTTAGTATATATTTATATATTACCATCACGACATTAAAGCAGTCATTTATTCAAGGTAGTACTTAGGGCATAAGCTGCAAGCCTCCATCTACAACCAAAACACTCCCTGTAAGGTATGTGGATTCTAGAAGAAAAACAACAGCTTGTGCAACTTCATGAGGCTCTCCAAATCTTCCAAGGAGAATTGATTTCTTCAACTGATCTTCTTCCAGATGAGCTGTCATCTCTGTGTGAATAAAGCCTAAGAGCAGAGAGATATATTAAGAGTTACCTAATCTTCAACTAAATTTATTGAGTGGATTTCCCACTGAATCTTACAAAGTGAAATCTATTACCAGGTTCAGCACCAGCTACCATTCTTCAAAGTCTCCCAAAGCAGCCCACATCATTTGATAGCCAAGACCACTTTTTCATCTAACCAAGAAAATACCTTTCTGTTTTGGAAGCAATGATGCAATAACCAAAATGCAGAGATCTATAGAAGTCCATTAAAAAAACCCAAACAAAGCCAAACACTCAAACAAGAAAAGGTAACCAAAATTCAGTCCAAAAAACTGTATTTAGTATCACTTTTCTGAAAGACAAAATATACTCATTTCACCACAATGTTCTTAATTAAAATACGAGCACAAAATGTCTGGCAAGAATCCCTCTCAGAGTTTAAAGTGTTTGCATTATATTTTAGAACTTCTGGCAGTACCTGAAAAAAACGTCCCTCCCCTGCTCCCAAATTCAAAATGGGGGGGAGCGATTTATAGTTTCTATCAGGGCACTAATTTGAAAAATATTGCTCTACATTTTTAAAGGACCTTTTTTAACAATTTTCCATTATCTGAGATTTGGCTTTCCCACTGTTGCACAACTTTAAACACACTGCAGCTTTATAAAGAGCTGATCTTACCTGCTTTCTAGCTGCCATCAAGAAGGGAAAGTCTCTCTTTTGCTTTCTACTGTAAAACGCTGCCCTTTTATGATGGTTGTGGATGAGCTGCTCAACTCACTAAAGAATAAAAGTATTTTTCCTGCCTAGTTCACAAGCTGAACAGATTCATGTAGAACTCTGAAAGGCATCAGAGGCAGTAGAAGGTGAGCAGCAGTGCACACTATTATGAGTGGAAAAATTCAGAAAATACAGAAGGGATTTTTCCTTATGCGTGGCAGTTCACTTGAACTTGATTATCTTACGAAATCACTGCCTTTACTCACAGAAATAACTTTCAGGACTCCCTCCTTTTATTACAGGGAGACAGGGGTGCTTTTTGACAGCTTTCTCATGGTCTGTCATGTTTCCCTAATAACAAACAAACATTCTCTAGCCGGAGACAAGGGTAGCTTTATCTCTAATTAGATTTAATCCTTCCATCTGCAAGGACAGCAAGTTTTGAAGAAGGAAATAAAATAAAAAAAGACAATTATTATGTAATAATGAATAGAGGAATAGGTAGACTCACTCTTCCAAATTTCTCACTGTTCCCTTAAAAAGCCCGAAGATTTTGTAAAAGAATGTATTATACTTTAAACAAACCAACAAAATATATTAAAAATATTTACTTACCAAACTGAAGAAAATAATAGAAATTTGTCTTAAACTACTTTCCGAGTACAAAAAATATCCACAGTCTTAGTGAATTGCAACAATCAAGGATGCGGGAATTCCTATAAAACTAACCTGGAGCAACAACGTTGACTCGAATTTGCTTTTTTGCTACTTCTTTAGCAAGAGAGCGTGAAAATCCAACTAATCCTGCTTTGGTAGCACTATACACACTTTGACCAGCGTTGCCTTTAAGTCCTACAATACTCCCTAAAATAAAGAAACATCAAAGAGAAGGTTAAATGGGTAACTTGAAACGTTGTACTAGTTTTATCATTTTAATTTTAAACTTGGAATGAAAAATGAAATCACAAGAAAAGAGTAAAATATGCATAACTTTATGCACTTTAGCCTGCTAGGATAAGCAAATCTCCCAATTAGCTGTGATTTTTGTACAATCCATGTATCTATGTTGACTGACAGGCACCAGGAGAGGAAGGAAGGAAGGAAGGAAGGAAGGAAGGAAGGAAGGAAGGAAGGAAGGAAGGAAGGAAGGAACTGACTGTACCTATCAATTCTTAGTTAATAGCAGTAGCTGGTAGATCTAGATATTGAAAGAATTGGTTAAGAATAGCAAAGTTATTTTTCCAATAAAAGATAAACTCTGAGGTGTTTAATATTACTCTAGAAGTTGCAGAAATTACACAAAAGAATAACTATTCATAAAGAAATGCTAAATATAAAATGTCAAAATACATAGACAAGGAATTAAGTAAATTGTAGCAAGCAGTGTAATATGTTACACCTGCTAAACATTTCTAGAACACTAGTACACAGAACTCCACTGGCTTACACAAGCAACTTACCTATATTGACAATGGCACCTCCCTTTTGTTGAATCATGACCTTTACAGCAGCTTTGCATGTCAACATTGTTCCCAAAAGGTTAGTGTGAATCTGGGCTATCATATCTTCAGTCTTGGTTCTCACTAACAAACCGTCCCTGACAAACAAAAAAAAAACCTAAAGAATTCACTTAACAACCCCCTGATTGTGTTTATTCATAAAAAAAATACCGCTGGACAGAATATTAATGGGGCTCAATACATTTGAGCATTCAAAATGACAACACTGCAGGGACTACACATAGCAAAAAACATGTTAGCCATGCTTCTGGCCACAGAACCTCTTTTGCAGAGTGGTATCAAGCACTGTTTTAGACCATTCTGGGAGAAAAAAATGGAAGAAATAATAGAGGGGGAACTCAAAACTCAGAATGCAGAAACTACAGTGAAAGCTGCATCATCTGTTAGCATTCTACTACCACCAGGAACAAAATATTGGCAAGCACTTAATATTGCTTTCAGGTGCTCATTAACAACACTTACTAAGCACAAAGGGCCAGAGCACCTTACAGTGAGCTGCCTTCATCTAGAATTACCTACAGTCTTGTAAGGAGTAACCAACCTGTTGATCCCAGCTGCATTAACCAAGTAGTTAATAGGACCCAAATTCCTCTGCATCTCTTCAAAAGTCCTTTGGACTTCTTGTTCCTTGGATACATCACAGCTAAGTGCCAGATGTCCTGCTGTAAAGAAATACATATATTGTCAAAATAAACAGTAAAAGCTCTATTTAATTCATAAACCTTTTTCAGAACGTATCAACTCAGTTGCAAAACATATGTTGAACTAGTTATAATTTAAGGAACCTATTTAATCCCCAGACAATTAAATAAAGACAAATTTCAAGTGTTGTATTCACTAGTTATGTGACAATTCCTTGTTTTATTTTTTTGCTTTTTGAAATCAGAAGTTCAGCATGAGCAGACTGGTCTCAATTCGGGCTTTTGCAGGAGTTGAGGATGTCTCAATTCACACCACCTCTGTTGTGACCCCAAACAATTCCATTCATCTTAAAATTCCCATCACACACATAAAACAGGTAACCTACTTTCTTAATGACTATTGAGAAAACAAAATCGTACCAATATAGCTGTTTTTTAATAATCTCAGCCTTTATTTTCCCTTTCATCTAGTTAAACAATGAGGGGTTTTTAACAGCTGGCTATTTTCACAAGTCACCTAAGCAGGGAGCAGCGAGGAGGTAACTGCACAGCAGCATACGTACCACCAAGGTTACGGGCAGTGCTCTGCGCCACGTCCAGATTCCTAGCAATGATGGCCAGGCGGCAGCCCTTCTCTGCCAGGAGCTCTGCCACAGCTCTGCCTATCCCCCGGGATCCTCCAAAAACAGCACAGACCTTGCCCATCTTCAAAACAATTCACAAATTGCAAAATAAACCATCAACTGCATGTCCAGTACAGCAAGACATTAACTACTGCTCTTGTCAACATCACAGACTTTACTTGTTTGTAGCAGTTTGTAATAGCAGGTTATAGAATTAGTGATTTGGTTTTTATTCATTTATATTCATTTCTTATTCAAAATACACAGTTGAACTAAATTAGACACCACTTCTGCAAATGAAAGTTAATTCTTAAATATTTCTGAACTAGTTAAAAAAAAATCATGCAGATCATCTAGCATTCCAATACCAGAGTTATGGTAACTCTTACTCAATTGATGAATTATGTGATTTATGCACCTACAGAACATAATGTACTGTTCAGCTGCTTATTCAAAGCTGATGTACTGTTTGTAATTATACTGTCCTTGCAACCACTATTCTTGTGCTGAAGTCATTTAGCCTCAAAGTCTCGCTCCATCAAAAGCATCTGTGTCAGACACCACCAGTACAAATGTTACAGAGTGCAATTTGAAACTTGTATTAATACTGATTTAATACTATCAGACTGTGTTTTACCACTAGTCTGGGGTTTTCTTGTTTCTGCTTTTGCAGGAGGAAAAAAAGGTCTTTGAAATACAAAATGATTCTGAAGTAGCTAGCTTCGATGTTTAGAACAGAGTACACAAAGAAAGTACTTCTGTAGAATGATCTTTTATTCTGAAAGCTCTAGAAACCAATCAGCTGTTTTGGGATTTCCTGAGGAGACAGAGACAGAATTCAAGCAATAATAATGAATCTTTTTTCCATGCATTTGAATAAATCATTTTTGAACCCAATTGCACTGTCTTCATCCTGAGGCAACGAATTTTATTATTTGTGGGAAAGTACTTCCTTTTGTTCCTAATTTGCTTTCTGATTAGATAATTCTATGCATTTCTCCTCATACCTTCCCCTTACTGTTTCACTCTCTACCTGTATCCTCTTTCAGGTCTATTCAGTTACTCCTACACATATGGAAGCTATTCAGTACCTCGCTGAAGAGGATCCGAGTCCTCAGATCTACCTTTGGCCCCACTGAAGTCTATTAAACCCTTCTGGATGAGTGACAATCACAACAGCACATGGTACTAAGTGTACCAGGCCACCACCAACTCAGAGTGGCATGATGATTTTGCTCTTCTGTAACAGAGTTTGGACAAGCAGGCGGTCTGTTCTTTCCCCTAACAAAGTATTCACAAGTGCCTAAAATCAACCCATGCGTCTGCCTTCCCTGGCAAGTTTCGAAGCAGAGAAAGCCCCTTGTGCATTAACCAGGCATTCACAGGTAGGACACAGGGCCTACCTGCAACGCAGTAATAGACCCTTGGTGCTTTAACACAGAAACGCTGTACGGACTTGGGAGAAAAAAGCTGCAGCAGGAGTAATGACCCGCTGTTCCCTGGATAAAAATGGAAGGGAAAACCAGGTATATCTGGAGTAAGAGGCACATGCAGACACCCATATCACCATTGCTCTTCTTTCAGAGCCAACTCTTCAACGCCTGACCCCGGGGCTCCAATGGCACCGCCCCACGGCGCTCGGCTGCCAGCCCAAGGAGAGCCCTTTAAACAAGGGCGAGCGGGGTTCCCGCAGCCGTGCCCGGCCCAGCCCAGCGCCTCCCTCCTTCCCTCCTCCGTGCGTGCCGGCGGCGCGGCCGAGCTGGGCTCCCGCTCGGGCCCGGCTGCAGGTGGAGCCCTCAGCACGGACAGCGGGAAGCGGCGCAGGCCGCGCCCGCCAGGGACGCGGGGACGCGCAGCGCGCCGCGGGTGCCACGGTGGCAGCGCGGCCGCTCCGTGCTGTCCCTGCGTGTCCCCCTCGCCAGGCGCGGGCTGCCGCCCCGCCGCGGGCACAGGAGCAGAACGGAAGAACGTGCGTGTTCCACGTGCGCTCCGGTACCTCCCGGCCGCTGCCTCGCTTCCCTCACGGAGCGCGGTTCCCTCCCCAGCCAGGCCGGTTCCGCTCCGCGCTGAGCGCAGGCGTCACGGGGAGCCGCGTGACGTCACCGCCGGGGCCAGCGGCCGCTGCTGAGGGCCCGGGGTCGCTCCCCTGGCTCTGCTCCCCTGGCTCTGCTCCACTGGCTCTGCTCCCCTGGCTCTGCGGCGGGCCCGGGGGCTGCTGAGGGCCCGGGGCAGCTCCCCTGGCTCTGCGGCGGGCCCGGGGCTGCTGAGGGGGCTCAGGCCCCGCGCTTACCGCCCGACTCCTCTGCGCTCGCCCGCGGGAGGCCCCTCTGCTTTCACCTTACGCTTGCCGCCTGGAAACTCCATTTCGCATCGTCCGGCCTGGAGCTGAAGCCCTCAGTCCTCCCCTTGTTACCCCCTTTCGTGAACAAAAAGGTGCTTCATATATAGACACAAACAATTAGATGAATCAGGATTTTGTTTCTCTCATTTTCACGTATCCTTGCCCCAAAATCCCAAGGATTTGTATGAGGCATCACTGTACCAGAAGAGTTAAATTTCAAACATGTTACGGTAAATAAACCCAAAATACAGAAGCGTGTGTGGGAATTCCTGATCAGGAACCAAAGCAAACTTCATGATATGCAATTAAACTAACATTAAAAAATCCTATTCTGGTTTAAGAGTAATGCTGTTTACGGCTATGATCTATGTCTGATGATGTGCTTGAGGGATTTCTGTGGACTCTTAATTAAAAGTCACACACTGAGTAAATTTTAACCCCTGAGGAGCATTAATAAAAGCTATCACAATTTTATACAAGAGTACACTTCAGATTTTTTTTTGAGAAAAATTACTATTGTTTTTATTGTTATTAATTGTTATTATTATTTTCCATGGAGTTATATGTTGAAATCCTGCTGGAGTTTCTATGAGAGTGGGATTGTAAATTCATATGCTTCCTGCTTTTGACTTGAAAGGTGTTTTTCAGAATAAGTGTTTCTGGGGAGCTGTAGAGCATTTAATTTCGTTAGTCCTATGCATGTGGGACTATTCTTCCACAGATTATTCTTTGCATATAGAAGAAAAAGCAGATTTAGGCACTGGCAAACAGGTGAGCGTCTGTAAGAAGAATAAAATTTTGAAAAAAAGCTGTTATGAGAATTTTTATATATTTAGATTGCAAGTGCCTCTTTTCAAAAGAGTGAATGAGATTTGTGATACAATGCCATGTCAGAGCATGCCATATTCTGAAAGTGTGGAGGTCCCAGTGATGCAAAGGCACTGACAGATGAGACTTAGAATAGTCTCTGACCAAGACTTCTGGTACCTAGCATAATTAAGGACCAGGATAGCTTTTTCTTCAAGTGAAGCTTAGAAGCAAAGTAACACAGAGGGAAAAAAATTATCCTTAGTTATGTTTTCTGAAGATGTGTATACTACAGAGAAAATAACTATGAGGATCATATTGTATAAGGACGGCAGCAGGCAGATTTTAAGTGAAAAAATTTGTAAGTAATTATAACTTTACCTGTTTCTGACCTGTGTCCTTATCCATACAGCTGACCTGCCCTTGTAAGAAAGTTGAAGAAAGGCTAATCTGTCCTGTACTGTTAGGATTTTGCTGACACAGAGTAAGCATGAGTTCAGTGGGGGTTTTTAAGTGTGTTATAGTTGACAAAGTAAAATATCCTTTTCAAAGGCTCAGACAAGATTCTATTTAATTCTTGTTCATTAACTTAGTGTTTAAAACAAGATATGTGTTCATTCATTGGCCAGAGTGACATTAGCCTTCTTTTTCCAGATGCCTGGTTAAATCATGAGATCAGATTAAGCCAGAGTTCATCTAAGCCAGTTTATTCACACTGATTTCCCATTAAAGCTAGTGGAGTGCAAGAGACAGATCAGTATCATAATGATTATGTCCCCTTTTGGGGGAACAGTAGCTGATAAAAGAACTTGATCTGATAGACCTGTTCCATCTATCATGACCAGATCTGTAACAGCTAGTTCAGTACTGGTCATTATTATGCCTGGCTTACTATTAATGTGAAAATATAAGATAATAATTCTTGTATGTCTGTCTGTGTGACCATATATGCACACATTTGGAACCTGGCCACAATGTACAAAATGATGCAGCTGTGTTTCCTCAAGCCTAAAGCATTCAGGCATTAAAAATACTCTTCCTTATTATTTATTTTTAGTTATTTATTTAGTTAGTTTATTTAGTAATTTATTCCTTTCTTAATTTTTTAATCATTCTCCCACACAACCAAGATACTTCTTTCAAGTAAGAATTTCTCTATTATTGTGGGAAAAAACAGAATATTCTCAAAGAGGAAAGGATATTTAATGTATCTAAAAGCACAAAACACAAGTCAAAGCAGAATAGCACAAAACAGGGACCACTGTAACAGATCCCCTGAAAATTCCTCCAGGGTTTTGATTTAAGGCAAGATTTACAGAGGAACTTGAGTTAATCATTAACCACACTGGTGCCTGAATCTGTGGCCTCTTAAATTTCTGCCAAGAGTCACACATGAAAGAGCAATGCTGCTCTAATGTCCAGCAGCATTTTCATACTGTTCCCTGTACTGCTTATGAAAGCATACCTCCCACATTACGTGGGTTTTGTGTAAGGCCTGGGACAAAGCAACTGGAGAACAAGCTGCACATGTGCTCAGTCCTGATTTAAACTGAAGCCTGCTGGTTGGAGCACTTGGCTCCAAGAAAACCTGCTGTCATGTCTCCTCCCTTACTGGAAACATGGTCACTACATTTTTTCACCACTGAACAAGCTTGTCATAGCCATCAGTCTGAAGTGGTTTCAGTTTAGAGGAACAAGAAGAAAAAATTAAAGTGGGCCAAGGAGATTTGACACTCAAGTCGGATGATTACTGTCAAGAAATGTAAAACCTCGGGGATTAAGCATCAGTTGAAATCAACATTCAAGAAACTATTTTGCTTTTCAACTGGCGTATTAAACATGACCTCCTCCCTAGCTTAAGCAAATCTGATGATGGGGGCATGTATCTGGGATACAGGAGTCATAAGCTTAGAACAGAATTAAGCCAGGGAAGACCTTAAGAGGTTTCCTTCTTTCCAGGTCAAATGATAACTCAGTGGCAGGTCACACGGTCAGCACACTGCCATGCATTTCTTCCTGTAAAAAAGGAGTGTACCTGGACTAGGTGCCTCGTTTTAGGTGAGCTCTCAGGGCTCCTCATAATTTTCCACTTTGCCGGGACAGCTCAGCACTGGGGCTGCTGTCTCTTTTTGTTCCTCTTTCTTCAGGAATGCACTTGTCATTTACCTTGGGAAAAATCTGGTCTAGTTACTAATTTTATACATATATATATATATATATATATATGCTATATACATACATACACAATATATAAATTAAGAACAAGTTTTATGTTGCAATTCCCAAATACCTTTGATATGGCCTCAGCCTTCTAGGCAAGTGACATAAAGCTGAGATAAACTGCCGAGGAAAAATCCAACTGCCTAATTGTATGACAGAAAAAACCCCACCCCTCTCCTCCCAGTATTTTGCCACTTGGCAGACTTTTCCCAACCACACTAGTTCAGATACTTAAGTGGCCAAATTGCCACACTATTGCTCTTAAGTGATTTTTTTTTATGACACTGCAATCTGTTTTGTTTTTCTAGACCGTGCAAAGTCTCTGCAATATTTGTTCTTGTGTGATAACAGTGAACTTTTATCATGCCAACATGAAGTGGTTTTATACAGGTTAGGTACCTTTTCAAAAAATTGAAAACTTCTTCCTCTTAAGAAATTTCTTCCTGGTACCTCTGTGAAAAGTATAAAAGCTCTGTGAAAACTCTAAAACAAAACACAGCACCAAAACCCAGAACAAAACAAAGTTATCAGAACCTTGGCAAATTACCTAATGTTTTCATATCCTCCTGGCTGAACAGGTTTTCCCACTACAACCAGGATTATTTCACACGTCAGTGTGAGGCCCATGTTTGAGTTAGCACGGTCACTGAACTGCTGCTGCTCCCAGTAAGAAGTCAGGCACACCATGAAGGGAATAGAGAGGAGCCTGTATTATTGCTGCTTCATCTACTACTAAAATGGAACACTTCACTCCCAGTGCTGCCCCGAGGCACCTGACACGTTAAAATGAAACAATCCAGACATCAACCAACCCCTGCAAAGCTATCTTCAAGAAACATTTGTCGTACATTCAGACTCTGTCCACAACTCCTGTCTGATCACAGACGCTGGACACTCCTACTGTGTATCAGTGGACTTTGGACTAAAGAGGTGAAATCTAGGATCTCAGCATGTCCTGAAATTTCTTACTTCCCTCCATGCATCCCATTCCACATGCCACAGACTGTATCAGCATTTAGCTCCTAAGTCCCCAAACCAGGACTAGGAACAGGGAAGAAATAACCAGCTCAGCCATCCAGGGAATAAACTCACCACTTTCTGTACAGCGCCTCTTCGACAGACAGTTTTTCAAGCTGCAAAGTGCATCACACAGAGCAGTCAGCCTCTCCCAGTAAGGCAATCTGGAAAACAGTCAAAACTGACACCACCATGGAAGAATATGTTGCTCCTAGCAGTCTTCACAGACCATTTTGTGTAGAAAGGATTTTTTTTGGTGTATTGCATATTTCATAAGCATTA